TCTTGAGCGTTAATTTCAGCACCCATTATTGTTTCTAAAACAAAACAAAATAAAGACTATTGAATAGCTGTTGTATTTTAAATATTAAAACTTGTTTGAAGAATTCATGTGGTTGTGAATATTGAGATATGTGTTTACTAATATACTATACATTATAAAGACAGAGAGGATTATATGAACAGATATAGTTGAACGAAATGTTCTTAGGACATAATATATATGTTTGTTGGATACAATAATACACATTTTATGAAGTTATACAAGGAATTAGCTGTTTAGCTGAAAAATAAAATAATTACCAAAAACTATGTCTAGTGCACATAATGTTATGTATTCCGTAATGTATATTCCGTTGTTGTTTGTAGACTCTTCCAGTAGTTTTTTTATTAATATTCGGGAATGTCTATTCATTGATTTATTATAGTAGTGTAATGATTTGAAGTGAAACGCTTTGGTAAGCAGTTTTCGCCGACTATGCCATTTCGAACCTGCAGTGATATAATGAAATTTTAATTAGTATCCATAGCTAATTATTATTTAAATTGGAATTAGCCTACCTGAACTTAATAAAAGTCCATCGTTTAGCCATGGTTGCAATAATTCATATTCGGGGCCTTTGTTTATATGGTTTGAACTGGATAAAAGAATCTAATAAAATTAAATATATATTATACATTAGACACCATAAAAAATAGCAAAAACAATTTTCTTCCCCCATAAAAATACCTATTTTAAATAAAAGAGTTCAAATTTAGTTTAAAAAGTTGCTTTGATGCAAAAGTTTGTAGAATTACCTACATTTGTATATAATCTAAAATTTTAGTTAGGTCAGCTTTAAAGAAAATAAATTTTATTATATATTTGGTCTATGAAAAAGGAAATTTCAGTTGAACAGTTTATCGCTAAATTACATAAGAACATCGTTAAAGCTACATCAATATTTAGATAAATTGTTAACATTTTTTTTCTATTAAAAATGTATTAATTTCTAATAAGGTTTTTGAAGGATCGATGGTAAATTTAAAAAAAAAAAAACATTTAATCGAATTATTTTATTTCTCAAAAAAAAATTAAATACAGCAATATCTTAATGTGAAAAAATACCATTTAAATGTATACATAACTTTTTTAGCTTATACAAACATGTGTATTGAAAAAAAATGTCTATAACATATTTATCAGCGTCTACCTTCTCCCATATTTTATAAATATAGTAAATAAATACATAAAAATAAAAAAACAATAATTAAAAGAATGAATGCGTCGCACAGAGTATTATGATAAGTGTATTATATGTTAGGGTTCGAATTAAAAATTCATCAGGTATATTACAGTCAAAATATAAAACGCGACTCATATTTTATCTTTTTTTGATAATTTGAATTAGTGTGATTGTTATAAAGTACTATCGGATAATTCATATTTCATATCACCTATGTTTATATTTTTCTGAGTATATTTATTATACTAAATAAATTTATAATTATAATTAGTTTTTGAATTTAATATAATATTCCTAAAATAATTCAAAATCAAAGTTTCAAAACCTAAAACTCAAATTTTAAATATGTAAATTTTTGATTTTGAATTCCAAAAATTCGGATTTTCGAACTTCAGCTAATCCAGATTTTTCCCATCATTTAAATACACACAAATACATACTTATATACATACATCGTATTGACGCCCACAGGAAATTCATCAAGGAGGGGCATAATAAATCAAATACCAAAAAGTACTTAAAATTAAATTATATTTGATATTCTGAATTCTAGAGAGGGAGGCAGATGCTCCGTCTAACTCCCATCCAGGTGCCCATGTATATTGTTTAATTATAATATTACTATTTTTGAACATTGACTTACTTTCAAATCGTCTGGATCGTTTAAAATAACATACGGACGTCCCGCAAGATTAAAATGAAATATTGATCCGTTGTTTTTTACCAACTCCGTATAAAACATCAACATTTCTAAAATATTTTGATTGAAAACATTTCCACATTTTAATATTGATTCAAAACATATTAAAGTTATAATAATATGTATACATAAAATAAACTTTAGAATTACAGAATAAATATTCTAAAAACGTCCTAGGATAATGGGGACGGAAGCACTCACTGTTATAAGTAATCTAATGTATACCCGTAAGCAACAATAAACCATTGCTAACGAAAAAGCGATTCTGAGTGTTCGGTTGACAATTTTGTTTGTCAACACTCAACAATATACATGTCATAATATGGTAAAAGAATTACATATGTATTTTATATATTTTTTAATACTATTTGTTAAATATTGTACCTATTTTTCCGTTTTCCTATGTTTTTGGATGATTTTAAAAACATAGGTAATTCAAATATTTGTCCGTTGCATATCGGATTATTGTTATTATCAATACACCTTTATTATATTACACAGGTATTAAAGCTATTAAAGTATTAATATTACTTTAATATTAATATATTTATGAAACAAGAAAGATTAATGGATTTTATCTAGAAATAAATTTCAAATTTTATAAATAATATATATTTTTTTTTAAGATGTTACTTGAAATTTTTTTTTAGCGCTTACTCAATATAAAATATCACAGCACGCTATTGTTATACAGGTATATATTTTTTTTAAAGCTTATTTTTTACACTTTATGTATTCAAATAATACAAAATCCGAACACTGCATGTCTGACAACTGAAGCCATTAAATTATAATTAGTTGATAATTAATTGATTTTACCAGTAGGATTTTTCTTCCCTATCGTCCATGCAAATTTCAGTCGACTCCAAAAGGTTTTTGTAATAGACGGCACTTTNGCGAATATCCCATATACAAAACGAAACATGTGAATATTATTATTATACAACTGTAAACATTTAAATCGATCATTTTATTTTCAAAATTAAATTATAATTTAGACGTTTTTATGAAAAGAAAATATTTGTGTAAATAAATTTAGGAGTAAAAATATTGTAATGATATTTAATACAGCTGTCAAATTACACGTCCAAATATTTGCACGTTTATGCAGTATAGGAATACATTTTGAAATAAACTCTGAATTACCTACGAGTGCTTGATACCACTTAGTGTACCGAATATTTCTGTTACCGTAAGAACCGGTTTTTATATTTGACAGATACCCGGCCAAGGCCATGAATTTTAGATTCCGAGCGTAGTGAGGTTTTACTAAGATGTTTATTCCTTTTTTTTCTTTTTTCTTTGTTCTTGTCTATGGATACGTTTTTCTAAGTAAACGTGCTTTGATTTTTACGTGTAACAACTTTTTTGAAAGCTCAAGTTGTCCAGTCGTTTAGATTGTACACCAAATTCGATGAAATTTTTTAAATAAAATTGGGGAAAAACGTAGGGAAACGTACAATCTTACGATTTCATTATTTTATAAAAACATGGACGAAGTTTTCTACCAGAAAATATGATTTAATCGAAAAATCACAAAATACCTTTTTTGTTGCCTTTTGGATTTACTTTCTAATGGTACATCGCCAAAACTTTTAAGCCACTTTTGAGCTAATAAGGAATTTTAATTTTTAGCAATTTTTTTGTTGTAATTCGGTTATAAATACACGTCTCTACGTGTATTTAGCCTCTGCTCAACGTTTTGTACCGCAGTTTTTAAATTTCAATTTACTTCTTGTTTATAGCTGTAACCGTATATCAATTATTATATTCTACAAGGAGTGGTGCAGAAAGGAGATTATAACTACCTCCTTAACCCATAGTTTTCATATTATACATTTTATATTTAATATTTCGTGTTCGTTTCTCCGTCCAGAATATTAGCTGTAATATTACAATATTATAGCTAATATTATGCTGTAGTCTGTAGGTGCAACCATTAAGTATTGTTATTTTCGGTAGTTCAATTTGTTTACGTGGAAATGTGTCACTAGAAATAACGTAATGATTTTCGTGTACACTGTTAGGGAATAATAAATGACTTATGGTTTTATCTAAATACGAAAATATTTAGCAATGTTAGCAATATAGATCCATCATTGCTGTCGGTTAATCGACCAAAAAAAAAAAAAAAAAAAAAAAACAAAATTAGTTTTAATTCATATTTACTGGATCTTAAAATATTCGTGATATCTAAAAAAGTGTTATACAGCACGTTATTTTCCTGTCCACCCTTAAATTATTATGTTAGACGATAATATAGATAAATTCGAAAATTAAAAAAAAACTATATGTTATCATTATTTATTAGTTATTACAATAAAATTAATAATACAATACAATTATCAAGCATTGCAATACAAAATCTTTAAAAATTGACTCGTGTGAATTTATCCCCTCCACCCGCCATATCAACCAAATAAACCGGACCGTTTGTAAATCAAAGATCTTCATTTGTAAGTACTTGTAAATTAGTTTTTGGAATTTTTAAGTCAAATTCTTTCCTTTTGGCAAATTTTTAAAAATCCGCCTCAGCCCCCTAATATTGAAAAAATCTAACTAGACCAACCGTAATTTAAAGACTTTATTTGTAAGCATTAGTAAGTTGAGTTTTCGGAATTTGGTGTTATCATACTATGTCCGAGTACCATTTACGTGTTGACTCTGATTTTTACACACATTTCGATCACTCCGAGTCCGCATCCGCTGGTTTCCTAATTCTTTCCGGCATGGTAGGATACCATATGGCTCACTTCAAAAATCATATTTAAATCCACAAGAGTGGTACAGAAATACATTTTATTTAATAATATTAGGTATTAAGTACAATCATTTTTACCATTTCTCAATTATTATTGACCAATATATAATAAAAATAATAGTATATTCTCGTATAAGTATATATATTTATAATTAATAATAATAATGGTTTAAGAGCTTATTTTTATGTTGTTTTCTAATAATAAATTGAAAAAAATTAATTTCATGGCTTTTATAACTTAAGTATTCCTATACTGCATAAACGTGCAAATATTTGGACGTGTAATTTGACAGCTGTATTAAATACCATTACAATATTTTTACTCCTAAATTTATTTACACAAATATTTTTTTTTCATAAAAACGTCTAAATTGTAATTTAATTTTGAAAATAAAATGATCGATTTAAATGTTTACAGTTGTATAATAATAATATTCACATGTTTCGTTTTGTATATGGGATATTCGCATCTACAAAGACGATTAATAGAAGAAATACAGAATCCAACAACGAAAGTGCCGTCTATTACAAAAACCTTTTGGAGTCGACTGAAATTTGCATGGACGATAGGGAAGAAAAATCTTACTGGTAAAATCAATTAATTATCAACTAATTATAATTTAATGGCTTCAGTTGTCAGACATGCAGTGTTCGGATTTTGTATTATTTGAATACATACAATTTTATAGTACATGCAACCACGCAAGAACCAATTATAAGCTCGTTGTAAATTACAAATTACCTATTTTTATTTACAGTATAGATAGTGTTGTAGGCACATATCTTACAGATTAATTCTGTGCCTAGAATCTAGATAACCTAGTTGATATAGATACATATAGGTACCAACATATTTGTGTACAATTCAATTGAATATAAATATTTTAAATTAGATAAGTACCTTTTTAACAAAATAAAATAATGGTAATCATAGTTTTTTTTTTTAATTTTTTGACTGAGTATTTGAATATTTTCATAATACCAATGTTGGCTCTATGCAACTGATTATGATTTTGTATGTTTGTCAATAAATTGCCCTAAGTAGATAATAATAGATTGGTTACAGACATTTTAAAAATAATACGTAAACGTAATATAATATGAGGAACGTGCGCAATGAATTAAACTTTTTTTTTAAATGATAAGCATATATCATACATATATAATATACAATATAGTCTATCTATATAATATTTTGTACATTGGTTATGTAACATAAATCAGAGTATTATATCTAACCGGTGACTATTTATAATAATAATTATAAAACAATTTTAAATCTCGTGAAATTTAACTTTTGTAGATGAGTCTAGTCTAAGGATTAATTCCATACGGATTTGAACGTCTTCTCTCCGCCCAAGCGTTTCGATTTTTGATTTTCGTAAAATAGTCGATATGACCGTTTTCATTTGGTTCATTGCGTATTTTTGTCCTAGAAACATGTTTGATCATAAATTAGTAGACACATTTATCATTAATAATTTATCATTATAATTAATTGCTAAATGTTAATATTATTTTTATCTAGAAATAATATTAAAATAAAAGGCTGATACGGCTGAAAGGCGTGACACTGTTTAAAAAAGGTTTTAGGAAAAGAAGATACATAAAGTTATTTAATATCAATCTATAGACTGTAACTATTGATTAACTATGATTGCTAAAGAAATGTGATTCAGAGTGAAATTCAGTTAATTATGGTTTGAAATGTCGTAATTTTTTAATTTTTTTAAAAAAAAAATGAAGTCATGAAATGGCATAAAATATATTTTCCCATTTTTCTTCATTTGTTGTTTCCCATTCATTGATACACAATACAAAAAAGTAATAAAATAAACATTATTGTAAAACCAATACATTCCTCACTCCGCTCAAAATTTATAATATTATAGTTAAATAAAAAAAGTATTTTAATTTTACCAATGCAGTTTCTTGGACCGGCGCTAAATGGTAAATATCCGAACAGGAATTTATTCTTATTTTCTTCATCCAAGAACCTATCGGGAATAAATTCTTCTGGATTTGGATACAAGTTCTCGTTTCGATGTATAATGTAAGGTATTACCGAAATCGTCGTTTTTGGAGGAATAATACAGTTCTCTAAAAATAGGTTAACATCAATAAAAGCTGTAATAGACGTAATAGTTAACTGGTTAATATCATAAAATGTCAAAAATTTCAATATAAAATACCTAGATATTGATCAATAAACTATAATAAATATTTATTGTGGATTTGGAACATAAATGTAGGTATAATCATTTTTAAATATATTATTTCACACGATATTTAATATACCTTATAACATTCCAGAATTTTTTTTGTACAAAAAATTACAACAAGACACCGCAACTAATAATATACATTCGTCTAGATATAAACAATGACTAGTTTTATCACGATCGCTAAGTAATAACAGCGCTGGCGCACTGAGCTTTGTGACAACCAACCTGTGTGATAATCAGCCCCGGTCTCTTCTACTTACCAATAAATTTAATTAAATGTTCTCTCCCACTCAAGATAATCCTAAAAAGACTACTGGTTAATAAATCAACATCTCAAACTTCATGAGCTATACGTTATAAATAATACGTTTGCATACAAACTTACTGAGCTCTAATGTTGTTTGTAATTCTCTCGAAATGGCCGGTACACTTGGATATAATCGAAGAGATTCTTTTATCACTGCGTCCAAGTATTTCATGGCAGTCAAGTCTTCGATTGTTACATCTCTATCCGAGTCTCCAAAAATCTCAAAAAGCTCATCTCTCGCTTTGTTCTAAAATTTATGTTGCTTGAAAAACAATTTGTAAATTTTAACTTTTTGATTTTTACTTGAACATTTTGATGCAAGCCTAGCAATATTATTGTCATCGTCATCGATATGGACGAAGTGTCGTGTCCTTCGAAAAGAAATGTATCTACTTCTTCTCGAATATCTTTGTTCGTCATCTGATCCGGGTTTTCTTCCAAAACGTCTAAAAGTAAATCTAAGAAAGATTTTTTTGGGGTCTTTTCTAAAAGAAGAATATTTTAATAATAATGACTAATCAGTACTTAATTAAGAATTAAATTTTCCTGTACCGTTTACACTTTCGTGTTGAACATTTTGATTTTTTGAGTTATATAATAACGTTCGCTTATTTTTAATGACCTGAATAATTAAAAAACATGTTTGGTTATTATTTTATTTTTCCTGGAAATTAGTACAATCGATAAATAATAATATAAATATAACATTTTGAGTTGGCATATACGAACATTATCGGTGTAATTATGTAGCACTCTGATAGATTTAAAAAATCTTCGACCACATCCGCTTATTTTAAACATTAGATCATTCCATAGCCAAAATTTAAATATTCTGTCAATCACTGATCTGCATGCACTTAAAAGAAATAAATTCACATTTATTAACACTTATAAATTAGTATTTACTTATATATATTTGTTTTTAATACATATTTTATTTTTATTTTTCCAGGTTAAATTAATAAAGTATTATAATTTTAAAATCTAAAAATCATATTTTTAAACTTACTGTTTAATACTATGAACGTATTCTTCTGATTCACCTTCTTGGGCTTTCATTTCAGTACCCATAATCGTTTCTTAGAGAAAAATAAAATATATACATATATACTTTTGGGTCGTTAAATTGTGTAAATATATAAATATTATAGTCAATTATTAATTAATTAATTAATACTTGTAGTATAACATGCACAGTGGCTTATTTTAGGTAATTTTTGGAGATGTCTAACATTTTATGAACCTTACAAAACCTATTTTTCAAATTATTTACTGAAAAAAAAGACATTGAACTTGCTTCTTTTCAAATAAATTACTATGTCAGTACTTAACAATAAATTTTACGTTTGTAACTCTGATATATTGTATAGTAGAAAAATTGAAGGCCATTAATAGGGTATGGATTTCAATGCAAATTGGATTTTTTTTCTAAATTTCCCAAAATAATGCTTTCCAAACACAAAATTCGTTTCATATATCAAAGATTTCAAAAATGAAACTTTTATTTTACATTTTTAGATATTTTTTATTTGCACTTTTAGATTTTTTCTTATTTTTACATACTTCATAGTTAATTTAATATAATGTATTTTGATTTTTTTCTAAAGGATAAAAAATTAATTTTATATTTTTAAAGAGTATTATGATTTTTTAATTTTTTTTTGTCTATAAACAACACTCTACCAGAAAACTTCCTCCGAAGTATAAAATATATAACCTTCTTTAAAAGGTTATCGTCTCTAGTTGGTGCGAGTTCTCCAAGGTTTTAGAAATAATTGGGAAAAACCAAAAGGATATTATAAGTAAAACGGCAAATATTTACAGAGCGCAGAGATGTTACCGTTTTCATTATTTTTAGTATATTAACATTATGATTTTTACCAGAAATAATACTTTAATCGAAAAATAATAAGAAATGAATTTTGTTTTTATTAATATTTTGCTACTCTTAAAGTCAGTCGTTTTTCGATATCCAAAGTAGTATTTTAAATAATTGGCAAAACCAAAAAATTAAAATTGATTAATATTTACAGCAACGTAGCGTCCCGGTTTAATTATTTTAATATATTCAACTTATGTTTTCTATCAAAAATAATACTACAATTGAAAAATTATGAGAGATCACTGACACAAATATTTTTTTGATATCTAAAGTATTTTTCATAATAATTAGGAAAAGCTAAAAAAGATTAAATATATAATTTTTTTCGAATTACGGCACAACGATTTTTTTATTTTAAATTTGTATAGCTTATGTTTTCTATCATAACTATTGCTCAACGAGATAAACGACACGTGAGCTTTTTTGTTGCATTTTAAACCTGGTATTTGAATAAATAATTCTTTTTTTGATTTTCTTTATAGTTTTTTTTTTTTTTTTTAATAACTGAGTAAATCCCCCCAAAAAATGCAGAATGTACTGGAAAATATAAGAGAACAATTCTTTTAATTTTAATAAATATTTTAAATTTTGTTTTTTGAAGTTTAAAGTATTCATAGAGACTTAAAATTTTGACATAAAACTTATTTTTGCTTTTTCTAGACGTGGTACAGTTTTCAAAACATTTAATACATTTTTGAGTTGATTATAGAAATTTTAATTTTGCAACTGAATGCATGGAAATCGCGGTGATAAGTATTCAAATTCATGCCAATTATATATGCTAAATATTTACACAAAACAAAAATTTCAACATTGTCCATGTTTTATAAAATAATAAAATCGTGAAGTTGTACGTTTTTTCGTACTTTTATTCGAAAATCTAAAACACGACTTCTTCAAAGTACACAACTTGAGCTTTCAGAAAAATTACCACACTTAAATATCGAGGCAAGTTTACTAAGTAAAAACGTGTCCGCAGTCCAGAACAAAGAAAAATAAATAAACAGCATTGTAAAACCAATAGCTCTTTCACTACGCTTGGAATTTAAAATTTGAAAAATTAGATTTATTCCACATAATCTTTGTTAATGAAAAACAATTCAGAGCGGAGTTATATAATACATGTTTAAAAGGCTGTAATATTTACGGTTTTCATTAAAATTTGATATTGAAATTCCTTCATAAAAAGAATACTACATTAATTTCAACTATTTTCTTTCGACCACAAAGTACGACTTTTAATAAACCTCCAGTAAAATTTTCAATAATTTCTATCAAGTCTAACAATTTTACTACATCTAGAGTGTCTACCGAATAAAAATTACATACAAAACACGCAAAATTAAAATGTCTATAAATAGCTCAATAATGGCTTGACAATTTTACTATATTTAAAAAAAGGCCAATATAAGTTTTTCATCGAAATTCCAAATATCTAAGAATATTTTTACATGATTTATAACAAATAATAAAACTTTTATTTTCGCAAATTTCCCATTTTTATTATGTGTTATCCTGGTTTTTAATAGATATTATTGCTTGGAAAATGAAAAAAAAAAAAATTCTCCTGGCTAATAAATAGGAATGAGTAATGGTAATACTAATACATTGGGTCATTGACCGGAGAGTCATTGACATGGTGGACACCTCTCCCAAAACATGCCACAGTATATAAATATATAGCCGTAAATATATTTGCTATTGTTTACCCCAAAAATAAACCTAGGAGTCTATGTCTATGAATTATTGTGCTCCATATTTACAGTTACGTTCATAATAATATATGTAATTATAACGAAAATTTAAAATTGAATACCACAAATCATGTCCAATGAACAAAATGTCACAAATTCCTCAATAGATATTCCATTATTATTATTTCCAGACGCTCTCAGTAGATTGTTTACCAATAACCTTGAATGTTTGTTTATCGGTGAGTTATATAGGTCTAACGATTTCAGATGGAACGCCTTGGTGAGCAACTTTCGACGATTTTGCCATTTCGACCCTATAAATTAACATAATTATTATGTTTATAAATATTTGACCTGAGCTATATTTATACCTGAGCTTGTCAATAGACCTTCAGACAGCCAGGGTTTCAATAAATCATATTCGCAACCTTTTTTAATATGGCTTGTACTGGACAGTAGAATCTATAACATGAAATGCATAGAAAATAATCTTGAACATACTATGGATCATTGACTGACTATTAATGTTTAATCGGAAAGATGGTTAATAGTGTAATTTAGATATACACTTAATTATATAGGTAATTGTTTATTTAATATACTACAGAATAAATAACGATCAATTATTGTAAAAAAAAAAAAAAAAATAAATAGAATCATAAAAAATTTTAATCAAATTTCTATTTTGTGTCTAGATAATTTTAACTGTACCCTATATTATATACTCTATACAATAGAGTTATTATTGTATAGTAAAGACGAGGAACATTATGATACCTAACGAAAATTTTAATAACAAATGTTGTCCTAGGATGATGGGGACAGGTGCAGCCTCTGTTATATGTAAGAAGTTGGAAAAGTAGTTGAGGGGAAATTTAATGTATATCTGTATGCAAGGATTAACCATTGCTAATGAATCAATTCTGAGCGGAATTCGGTTGATAGTGTTGCTTTGCCAATATATAATATATATATAATGCTAATATATATATATCATATTATGGTAAAATAATTGCATATGTATTATATGTTTTTTTAAATATTCATTTTGAATTATCTCTTATTAAAATAAATTATTTCTCTGTTAAACGACTAATTTGCATAATTTGTTTTTCTATGTATTCCTTCATTAATTTTTTTAATATTCAGTTGTGTTATACATTTTGACTGTGATATACCTGATGATGAATTTTTAATTCGAAACTGTTCTTATTTAATACACTTATCATAATACTCCAGGCAACGCATTCATTAATTTATTTATTTTTATTTATATATTTATTTACAAGTATTAACCATATTTATAATTTCGTTTTTATTTTATTATTTTATTAAAAAAATATTTGTTAATTATTGTACCTATTTTCCCGTTTTTCCCGGTTTTCCATGGTTTTCTCATTTATTGGAAAAACTCCTGGTAAAATCAAAATATAACTTCTCTAAGTATCACCTCGTTAAATTTTCTTTCAGTAAAAGTGTAGTACTTTTAAATTAGAGCAAGATTTCTGATAGGAAAGTTGTTCACAGATAAAAAAAAAAAAATATTATTGTAAAACTAATAAATTCCTCGCTTCACTTATAATCTTAATTCAGTATAATACAGTATACCTATATAAATCGACTTACTTTTAAATCTTCAGGATCGCTGAGCAGAACATACGATCGTCCAGTAATATAAAAATGAATTACTGGGCCGTTGGCTTTGATTAATTCCATATAATAAGGCAACAGATCTAAATTTTAAATTTAAAAAAAAAAAAAAATCATTTGAATAATTTGGTATCGGAAATTGTTAAAATTAGTAAAAAAAATATGAATTATTATAACTATAATTTCCGTATAAAATAAAACTCCATTCTAGTTCCAGAAAAATATAAAGAAAAAAGGTACCTTAGACAAAGTAGGTTGTACAGTTGTGTATTTACGGGAGGGAGGGGATAAATTCTATAATGGTATGATAAGACTTAACATGATTTCGGTAGATTAGCAGTCTTAAATTGTCAACGCAAACTCCCCCCTAAAAAATCGCCATAACTTGGTTGATTTATAACGTACGTGGGTGGAATCTCCACTGGTAAATATAGGTTTATGTTTATGATTTTTTTTAAAATTTTTTAGGATTTTCATGAATTCAACCTACTTATACTAACTATAGCCAATTATTTGTAACTTTAAGTTCATAATTTTACTACAATATACCCAAAATTATACTGATGCTTGTAAAAATATTTTATTATTATTGCATGATTTCGTAATGAATGCATCCGCTGTCTTTAGAAATTAAGAAACCGCTGTAATTGTCATTTTTATTATTCATGGTTTTTTTTTTTTTGATAAAAGTACCTTTAGGTTTTTTTGAAGCAAAACTCCAAACAAATTTCAATTGAGTCCAGTAGTTTGTCGTGAGGGACGGGACGACATAATTATTACGTGATAAGATCTTCTGCTGATGTGCCGGAGATTTCTGTAGTCGTACTCGTAGCTTAAATAATAGTACAATTATTGCTGGAATCAGTAAACCAACGTACACGCAATTGGAGAATTCGAACATTTTTTTTAAAATTATTTTCACCGATGTCTTTAATAATATATATAGGCACCACGCATCAATAATTACACTTAATCACAACAAGTCAATTTATAATAATTGTTATTAACGATTAGTCAATACTGACGGTGCGGAACGACGCGCGTGTTTTTGTGAACGAGCAATTGTAACACTGAGTGCAAAACTTATGTAGTCAAACGCGTCGTAGTCGCGACTCTCGATTCTCAAAATGTCAAGGTCCAAAGCAAAGCAATAGGGGAAATATTTACTGCGCGCCACGGCGTTGGTGATTTCATTGGTTTTAATTTTTTTAAATTATGTTTTCTATCAACTTTTCCTTGATCTGCACGTATGTTTCACCGACCCCCTTCTCCCCCAACACATTTTTAATTACAATATTTAGCATGTAATTCCCATAAATTTGTATGCCTATATCCCGAAATTTGCGTACTTTTATTTTAGGTGTTATACAGAAAAAATGTATCAGAAAAACTTAGAGCGCGGGTTGGAGAGTTTCTTCAGCCCCCGAGGTTTTAATTCATTTTGTTGAATTTTTTCCAAGGCCATTATTTAGCATTTCATTAGTATATAAATGTATGTTGATAGGCAAAATCTACGTTAGATCTATTCCACGTTTGATGTTATACAAAATTACGAAATTTATATGTAATGTCGATATTACCATTCACGATTATTCTGGCGATGAGATTTTTTTGTAAGGAAGGACAACATTTGACAACATTTCGAATGCACAAACGTAAAGAAAAAGAAACATTTGAATTTTTTTTTTTTATGACGACATTTTTATTATTGTAATGTCCTCCAAGGTTATAACAATATAAGTAATAAAATTAATAGTGTATTATCATGATGTTAATAATATTACTCTGTGCAAGTCCGAACAACGTGGTGCACTTATGCTCTCTATAAAAATGTACATTAAGTACCTTTCGAATATTTCGAAAGTCTTGACCTTGCGCCGTAATTTCACAACAAAAATTCACATCCTTACTGTTTTTAGTAATTTCGAAAAACAGTCAACTGTACACAATATCGGTTTCTGTGATTTTCGTTTTTAGTTTTTTAATTTTAATTAAGTTAAAAATAACCGTAGGGACCTGAAACATCGAAAATTTAAGATGATATCTATCGTGAATTGAAAGTTGAGCGTTGTGTGATAATTTTTATTTATATCGCGGAATTTCAAAACATGTTTAACCGAACTTTCCTCAGAATCGTTTTCATTAGCAGTGGTTTATCGTCATCTACTCTGTAATAAAATTCTTCCTTATCAACTTGTGTACTCGTTATAGTTAATAATATAATACAATATAGTGAATAATTCTTAAGCTTAATATATATACCATACAATATACGTATAATATATATTTTTTGTTTAGTTTTTCAAAACCATTATTTTTATGTATACCTAGGTACTATCAATGCAGTAGTGTGCATGAAATGCAATCAATAAATCAATAAAATAAAATTAATATAATATTGTTGTGAGGTAATAATGTGATTAATAGCTAATATTGATTTCTTAGCATATCATAATAATTATATAATAATATAAATAATAATGTTATATAATTGTTTTATATGGGAAGTCAACAAGCTAAACAAATATTGTACATAACTATTATGTGTTGATATTTTCGAAACCATGATAATAATTTAATTATTTAAAAAAAAAACTTAAAATGAAAATTTAGCTGCTAATCGAATTTATTGAAGGAATAATTTGAAACAATGTTAATGTACTACCTAATACTGTATTATTGTGGACAAAATCGTTAGGTAAGTACTTTTTTTTTTCATTTTAGGTGGCTATTAAAGGATTATACATTGAAATCTAAACATTTTTATTTTTAGATCAAGGATAAAAGAAATAATGTTTGAATTTGTAAATACAATTTCTGTGAATTTTGAAATGTTAATATTTGTGTTTTCGTCGTAAGGTAGTATGAAAAGTTTGGGATACAAAATATATTAAGTATAATAATATTACTTATGTGAGAATAGTATTTGTATATGAATATTTTTTAAAAACTGTTTAGTTCTAAAACACATAGTTGATTTTTTAGCTATTTCATTAGTTTTCGTACAAATTAGATTATTATATTTTGACTTCTTAATATTTTTATTTCATTCTCTGAGTGTATTTTTGACAATAATATACAATATCATTGTATTATATTTGTCGGACAAATTATTGTTTTAGATTCTGAGTGGAGCGAAGAAGCTTTATACTTTTACAATGATGTTTATTTTGTTTTTTTTATCTGTGTGCAACTTTTCTATCAGAAAACTTGCTCAGATTTTTTTCAAAGGAAGTCGGTGTGGGGAGATACTTCAGACAGGGTATTTTTCGATTTTCTCAAGAATTTTTTTTCTTCAAGTTTGAAAAACTAAAAGAAAAACAGAAGAAAAACGGGAAAAACGTAGGAAAACTGGGAAAATCAGTACAATAATAATCAAATATTGTTAAAGAAAATTTATAAAATCTGTTTGATTATTTTACTATAAAATTATATATATTGCTGACAAAACATCATTATCAACTGAATTCCGCTCAAAATCGTTTTTTCGTAATTAATGGTTTATTGTTGCTTACTATGATTTTTTTTTAATTATGTGGTGTGGCATATTGATTAATTGTTTTTCTTCAAAATATTATTTCATTAAAATAGAATTATTATATGTCTATATGTTTGATTTATATTTTGTATTTTTTTACTAGTTTAAAATTCAGTAAATTATATTATTATATTAAAACAATGACTAATACACTAGAAATGCCTTTTTTTAAGAAAGATAACGATTTTTGTGTTCTGTTGATGTGGTTTGTTTAAAATATTTTAATCAATGAAATATTTTTAATGTTGTCTTTAAAATTTTAGTACTTGGAATATTTGGATTTATTTCGTATTGTAAATTAATATTGTATGTCATGATTTGGATTGTACGAGTATATTGATCGTAATATCGATCTTGTTTTTTTGTATGAATTTGATTAAATTCATTATTAAAATTAACTGTTGTATCGAATTTAGATCGCTCAGAATTATGCAAGAAATTTAAAATTATTGTTGGTTGATGTTGACTTTGTTGTATAATATTAAATTATTTAGTACTTTATGTGTTACGTACTTTTCTCTTTTTTATGAACTAAATGTTAGAAGTATAAAATTAAATGTTGTGTGTCTTATAATATTTGCTTGTATAAGTTTTTATAATTAATTATTCCATTCTTGGCTTTTCACGGGATAAAATCTGTGTGCCTAAATAGGTTTTGATTCAGCATAGTTAGATTTTAATTTTATTTAGGGAATTGGCTGATTTAATTTGAATCGTATTATTGAAAGAAGTGTGTATAATGTGTGAATTTAAACATTTTTTTGTCTTATTGTGTTGTTCAATTGTAAATTAATTGCATTTCGAAATTTGTGTTTCTTTAACATTAAATATTATTTCTATCTCATATATGGTAATTTTATTTATGATCAGGTATTGTGGTATATTATGTTTCATATTAAGTATGTAATGTGGAGCGAGTAATGAACGGTTTTACAATGATGTTTATTTTTTTTCATTTTTGAATAACTTTTCTATCAGCAATTTTGCTCCGATTTTCAATTATAGCATTTTTTCTAAAAGGAACTGGGGGTGGCACTTTACGGAGGTCATTTTTTGATTTTCTCAGCTATTTTCATAATAAACGGAAAAATAGGTACAATGTATTAAACAAGTAGTATTAAAGAAAATATATAATGTATATGGGTATATTTTTTACCACAATACAATGTATATATTGTTGAAAAAGCAACATTATTAACCGAACTCTGTTCAGAATCGGTTTTCGTTAGCAATGGTTAATTGTTGCGTATAGTTATACATTGAATTTCCCCTCTACCTTCCCAACTTCACACCTACAACAGTGGTCCACCCAACGTGCGAAGTTTTTTTTTAAATTTTGTGTTTATATTATCTTACGATGTATTATTATAATTTGGCGTGTGCGTCATCGTTGTCAGGATTCTGTTTGACGATTTGATTTGATTATTTTTTATTAGAATACCGTAATACCAATTCATACCGTAATCTAAGTTAATATTATGAATGGTTTTGAGCCTAAGCTGTAAACAAAACCATTTCCATATTTACTTGAATTTAATATGAATGCATCAAAAGCATGTGAATTAACTAGAGTGTCGAGTTGATAGCCACGCCACAAATAATCGGGAAGTTCAGGTATACATCTAATAATTTGAACATGTGCGCCATGAATGTATTGTTTTGAGTTTTATTTTGGTGTCATTTAATGCATTAACTAATGCGAATATACCATTGTTACTATTTGAATAAACTTTTCCTCCGACTTGATATTTAAAAAATATATCTAACAAATTATTATGACTATTATGATCAATTTTATTATTGCACGTATTCTGTGTGGTTGATATTAATTTTTTCTCATTTATGTTAATATCAGTGACATCATTTCAAATGAATATATATATTCTAGTGTTGTCATAGATTTAAAATATCGTATATTTTATTGTTTCCCTTTCCAATTGATCCCTAGTTAAATCGGTTATGGAAAACGCTTTATGCTTATAATTTTAGATTCTAAGTGTAGCGAAGATGGTATTGGTTTGACAATGATGTTTATTATTTTTTCTTTTTATATACTGTGGCAGCAAAAATGTCTGCTAGGAACCTTGTTGTAATATGTAAGCGAGATACCATTTCTGAAAAAAAATGTTGTATAGATGGTAATTTAAAGAGGTCATTTTTTTATTTTTCAAGCGGTTTTCATAATATCTGGGAAATCTGGATGAAAAACGTAAGAAAAACGGGGAAATTTACGAAAATAATGTTTTTATCATTTTCAATTTTGTTTTTTATTGTAATTCTGTTAAAAATATTTGTAGATTTGAAATTTAGAAGATACCATCTGTGAATACAATTGTTAGACTAAACAGAAATGCTTGAAAATTTAACAGGTGGTTCATTATGAGTCTTAATTTTTGGTAAAAAAAAAAATCAGTTTAATGTAGTATTTTTTTTTTATATAGGAATTTTAATATCAAAATTCGACGAAAAACGTTAGAGTAAAATATTGTGTGGAATAAATTTAATTTTTCAATTTTATTTTTTGAATAATTATAATATGTATATTACCATTTTAAAAACGATGGTAAAGTCAGAATTGAGCGGACTGGCTAAGTTTCAAAATTATAGCCTTTTAAAGTTCTGATATTATACGGATATTATATGTTATGTTAAATTGTCTATTTTAAAGATTGTCTGTCATAGTCCAGTTCTGAAAAAATTCCTATTGTCATCCTAGAAATCGCGAGTTCAAAACTAGGTTTCGAAAAAAATTGTTTGTACTTATTTTTTCCCTTTTACCTAAATAGGAAAATAATAAATCCATTTTAGGTGTGCCTAGAGATTCTGCTATCGCTCGTTTGGACTATTTAAATCGAAAAATACCCCTCAATTTGCCATGCAAAGTTTTCTACCAGGAATCTTACTCCGATGTATCAGAATAGATTATTATTTTCTAAAAGGAAATTTGAGTTTTTCCGATAAATGGGAAAAACTGTGAAAAACGGAAAAGCTTTGCTCAGAACCATTTGTCGTTAGCAATGATTAATCTTTCCTTACAGATATACATCAAATTCCCCTCTATATCCTACCTTCCTAACGTCTCGTATACAACAATGTTCCACACATCGTGCGAAGTATGTCTGTCTTTTTTAATATGATTTAATTTTTCAGTTTTCATACATTTTTGTAAATATCTAAATAGCATATGTAAACTGAGTTTGTTTATTTTTATCAAATAGTGTAAAGTTTTCTTTCGGTGTCTATTGTAGTTATTTCACCGGAAATTGAATTTACGTTTTGAAGAATGTGCGATGCATGGTCTCGGTAAATTATTGTAATTTTTTTGGATACATGCGTATGTCATATACCTGCCGATATGAAATGAGCTAGTGAATATATTTATGTTGTGTTTAACTTATTGTCGGAATTTTCTGTTAATGGTAGCTCACCGTTCATAATTTTGGTTTTTGTAACTTTATTAAGATTAGGTGTTTGTTTTCAAAATTGGTGTTATTATGACACATAGTGTAATGCATGTTATTGGTTGTTTTTACTGGAATATAAGGTGCATGCGAACATCCAGTACTTGCAATTGATCTATCTACAAGTTTTTTTGATTGATATTTCGATTATTGGAAAAACAAGTATCAGTATTGTGATCTTTTTGTTGCGTATTGATTTCAATTTGTATTCTTTACTAATATTTTTATAGTAGTAATCACACGGCTTATAATTTTCGAGCACGCGTGAATAATAATGTCGGCCGTTCTGATTGTCGTTATATTTTTATTATTATTATTATTTTTTTTTTAATGCTGATTGAAATTATTTCTATAATTATTGATTAGAGATTTATGATTTCTTTGATCTGAATATTAATATTTATAGTTCGATTAATTTTTAACATTTTGAAAGTTATAAGGTATTCTAGAGTATGTACTGAATATTTTTATGATAATTATAACTATATTTGAATTCATATTTTTTATTATTGTTTCATGTTTCGAGATTTGCGAAGACAATTGTTTTGTTTTTGTATATTAAATTTAAGTGTTCTTTAGTTATTTGGGTTTTAATTTTATCGGAAGAATGCTGATTTTTACCATTTATTATAAATTCAATCGATTCGTATTTGCCTATATTTTCTTTTAAATTATATAACTAATTAAGACCTTTCATAATTTAATATACTAGTTCGGATTGTAACATATTTTGATCAATACGTAAGTATGTATAATTTTTCGACATCTTTTATATATGACGCTACAGATTCATTAGGTAATTGTTTCTTTTCTTCGATAAGAATTCTGACCATATGTTTCTGTGCAATAGGTTCAAATTTAAATCTAAAAGCATTATTTATTTGTTCATGAGTAGCATCGGGAATTTTTTGTTCGAAATTATCTGAAAATATGAAAGCGATGTCTTTGAGATATATAGTTAGAAATAATTATTTTTGTTTTGGAGACCAACCGTTTATGATGCTTTATTATATTTATGAAGAAATGAAGCTTCATATTCGTGGATTGTGCCGAAAAATTTGGTAGGTTTATAAAAACGAATTTCATTATTTATTCTATTGTCAATTTTTTTAAATTTGTATAATGCAATTTTGATAACATCGGAAAATTTTAAATTTCCTTAAATATTATATTATTTGAGTAATCGAGATGTGTGTATCTTTTTAATTTTTATTTATGTTTCGACGATGGTACATTTGGTTCTTGATTTTTTGGCAGTTTTTCTTATTCAATCGAGAAGAAGGAAGATACATAGTACATTGATATATATATTTGATACATAGTATCAATTTCATAAATGTATAGTCACTGATGATATTGACTTATACATAAAATGCAAGACTATATTAATATAAACTATAGTCGTGGGCAAGTATATTATTAATACTAATATTACTTATTTGTTATAAGCAGCCAGTTAAAGTAATATTCAAATCAATATATTCGCGTTTATGAACCTCAAACTTAGATCTCGAATTCCGAATAACGCGTATATAGATACTAGTGGTGTGCCCAGGAAATTCCATTGAGGCTAGGAGGAGATGTAAACAATAATCATGATTTATGAATAAATAGTAAAATCTTATAATGTTATACTTGATTCGACTCTTAGAACTATAAAGCTGGATCCAAAAAACCCAATTTTTATTCAATAAATCAATTTTTTTCCATTGTAATTTGACTAAAATATATAATTTCAAGATAATATTACTTAGTAAACACTTAAAGTTGTGTGAACTGCATCGGTGCAAGTGTTTGACATTTGGGAAGGCTGATGACCTTTTTTTTGCTCTTATGCTTTTACTACCATTTATTATGTGGTAAAGATCATTAACTTTTTTAGGGTAGGCGGACTATAGTAATATTAGGAGGACTTAAACTAAGCTTTACGATCATGGATCAGTCTGAATTTGTCATTGTATACATGAATTTATTCATTTCATTATTTACATGTATTGCGTGAGCAAGTAAAAATCCAATTCAGATATTAACCATTATACAAATTAGAAATTAATTTATATTTTTCAGACTTTAAATTTAAAATTCGAATTTTATATTATTTTAATTAGAAAATCATGATTTTATAATATAAGTTCGACACAGTCAAACACTAAGTGTCTACTTTTACAATAGATATCCTTTACTATTAACGCAAGTACCTACAAATATTTTATTATTATGTTTATCAGTTTTGTATTAAATACGTTGATTTATATGCCTGAAAATCGAGAATCAACTCTTTTTCGTAAATAAAATAAAACTATTTTTTTTATATCGCGTCACCGCGCGAGTCTGGGAAACGGCGTATAAAAGGAGACCTGGAACAGGCCCCAGGCAGACGTGTCTACACCTAGATCTCAGAAAGAACTTCCACGCTGGTTGTAACACCCATTTATATTCTAAGAATCTATTTACATATGATCTTCTTTATATTATATTGCACTAAATTAACTATTGAGTGCAATAAACATAACAATTGTCAAACTTATAGTTGACATTGCTCTTCATTTTAAACAAAATAATTGTAAGTGATGATCAGTAAAATCGACACGACGTAATTGAATTTGAGCATTTTATGATTTTTTTTTTTTTAATTTCTTTTAATTATTTTAATTATATAAATACTATATACAGTGTGTACGTCAATTACACTTTTACCGTTATAAATAGCTAAAAGGCACCTTTATGAAGTTATTAATGAATAGCGAATCCAAATGATGTGGTATGACTAGGGATGGGCACTTTTCCGGGAATGTAAAATCATGGACTTTTCCGGGAATGCTTTTTAAACGGGGAAGTATACTTTCTAAACATTATTTAACTTTCTGACAATACATAGTGACACGAATATATGTTTATTTTGTGTACTTGTGCAGTTGTGTACATTTAAATAAACACAAATTAATTAGGTAGAAGGGTAAAAGGTAGGTAAAAGAATAAAAAGTGGATTATTGTTTAATGTTACGGATAAGATGTTTTTGAATATAGTCTTTTAAAATAATACAATTTAATATATCACATAATAATTACATTTCGGGGAAAGACAGGAAAGTAGGAAAAGTGATTTTGAAGAACTTTTCCCATGGGACATCACTAGGTACGACAAATATTAGTTGTCGACTAACAGTTTTAAATACTGTCTGACTCGAAAAACAATGTTGTAGTTTATTAGTCGAACTGACGAAAAAATAAATGCCATTATTCATTATTACACCAATCCATATTTACATAATATGTATAATATATTACGTTAAATAATTTTTTGGTTGTCTGTTAGAACAAATTAAAATTTTTTTCAGTTTTCATTACTTCATCAAGGAAAATTTATATTTGTAATCGCATTAAAGAAATACAATATAAATTATTATTATTTATAGAAATCACATGAAAATAGGAAATTTGGTACAGTGTAGTCATGGAAATAAACGAGGAGAATATTTAAAAATATTTATTTTTAATGCTAAATGTTACCTACCTTATAAGTCCCTTTACTATCCTAGTTTGAACTATAGATACTGCATATACTTAAATAAGAACCATAAAGTACATTTCTTCGGAATCACCTAAAATTTATTTTTTTAATTTTTAGATTTTTTTCCTTTATTCACCGCTTCTGGAACTGTTCGGGTTTGTGGGTTTATAAATATAACTATATAGGTACTGCTTATCGAAATCAATTACAACTTATCTTAAATACATACGTATGTATACATACATATGGTCTAACATCCGTAGTGAAAAAACAATTTAATATATGATTATATACGTAATGCAAAATAATTGTGGGTTTTATAAAATATAAAAAATATATACAGAATGTCCTACATTGCACATGTTATCCTTATGCTAATAATTCTCTCAATATTCATTTTTTTTTTCAATCGGGTTTTGTGTGAGGGGGGCACATATGAATAGAACTACTATATTAATATGTTCATGCTTATTTTCTACAAATTAGAAGCGATTAAGTGATTAAGGAAAGAAAATACAAATTTATTTTTTCTCTAAATATGGGTTTCCCTCGCACAAAATTCGATTGAAAAAAAATAAATACTTAGAGTTATTAGCATAAGGTTAACACTGTACGACACTGTATTATGAACAAACGGGTGCGTTAAATTTGGACGATGAGTTAACGCGTCATATTTATTTAGGTCAGGTCAAATTGCACTTATTTTAATGTAATTGCATTTTGAATTTAAAAAATATAATGACCAAATTTAGGTCAAGAAAGGCAATACAATACACATTTTTGGTAAATAATAGTTTATTTAAACTTTAAAGTTTCACTAATTTCCCCTTTTACTTATAATTTAATTACTGGCGTACTTAAAATCGAGTTTTGAAAAAAATATATACATGTGTATAATAAAAATTCCTTTTTTGAAAGTATCAAATTATTGTTATTATTTAATACAAATATTTTTCTCGGATATCTAAAAGAGAAACTAGACAAATTGTTTCGTATTACATTTGGTTTAGTTATTTTATATCCGGTTTAAATTAATGACTCCGTTTATTATACAGACGAATTATGCCTGATAATTGTTAAGAGAAATTGATGGTTTTTTTCAAATATAATTTTTTTGACCTAAGGACAGTTTAACCTTTACGACTTTACTTGTTTTTGATCTGAGTGCAATTTAACCATTTTAAATTTAGTAACTAGGTGCGATTTGGCTACCTCAATTATTTATGTACGTTCGCGTATAGAATACCTATATTTATCGAGTTTGGCCCCATGGCGACTAAATTAGATTTTGCGAAATTTCAGCTTTACAGACGACTCTAACCTAAGGATTAACTGAAAACTATGCACTAAGTCTTTTTCGGACGCTGAAGTTTCAATTCTCATTCTCCGCAAAATCGTTGATATGACGGTTTTCATCTGATTCATGGCGTATTTTTGTCCTAAAACAATAATAATTATTTCTTAAAAAAATAATAATTATTTCCAAAATTTCTCGAATAACGAATCGAGTACGTTTGTCAGGAAGCATATTAATATACAGGGATCTATTTCAGCACCAAGTTGTTTCTAGTTAGTCTATTCAAATTTACCGCACCATGTTTTATCGCATGCGTGCGGAAGTGTCATATTATATTGCTTTTATCAATGTTATCAATCTCAAAGTACTTCATCTTGAGGCCTTTGGCCAACTCCATTGGCTCTATTCTACAGAATTCCGCAAGCTCATGTCAAAACTTAATCTAAAATATAATCGATTTTTTATGCAAATTCATGTTTGGTAGGGTATATTTTAAGAAATATATACGAAAAAAAAAACACAAATAAAATATATTCTGTGGTCGTCGGTATCAAACTCGACAACAATAGTTTTTGAATTCCGTGTTAGCCCAATGATATCTTACTTCAAAATCAATAAGTACTATAAATGTCATTTCCGCACGCACAATTTTGATATGGATCAACCATAAACGGAAATGCTTCCTATAGGTGCTAAGACGGTTACCAAAATCAGTGGTGGACTCAAAATTTTGAGAGGCAAATATTATGGTGGACCACCTACCTACCTATAACACTATATTCTGCTTCGTACCACTTTAATATAGAGAAATCCCACTCCTTGAATTTTTTAAAGATCTTAAATGCAAATAATTTGAAACTTGAAACTTATTCCCTTTCCGAATCCATACACGAATATACTTCCGAAAATGTGTAATATATTAACGTCCCACTATCTCAGCCAAAAATAATAGTATCTCATAAAATTATGAGAAATATGCTATGTGTCAACATGAATTGTTTTGTCTTTGGTTCGTTAAATCCTTAAGTGATAGTAAACACATGCTATTATTTATTATAATTGTAGTTAACAACTGATCAATAATCAACAATATAATCTATATTAATATTTTTATAATTATTCAATTATTGTTTCATACATAAATTAGACACCTTCCTCCATATCTTCAAAAACCTCAAATGCAATTACCTCTCAAATAAGCATTTGCCACGCCACTGTCGATATGTTGTACGGAAATCAAATCATACAAACGCAGCTAGATATTTAAAGTTAAATATAAATTATGATATTACCGATGCAGTTCCTTGGGCCAGCACTGAAAGGTAAATATCCGAACAGGAATTGGTTTTTATTTTGTTCGTCCAAAAATCTTTCAGGAATAAATTCTTGGGCATTTTCGTATATGCTCTCGTTCCGGTGCACGAGATAAGGCAAAATTATTGCTATGATATTCTTTGGAATTGTATGGTTCTCTATAAATAAACACACGAAAACACGTCCAATAAATAAAAATTATATTTTAGATCTATAGTTAAATTTTTACAGCTTATTAAAGTATGAAACGTTCGCATTATGTGAAATATTTGAACGGTCGTATCTCGTTTCGCCGCCAAATTAATCCCATTTTGCCGCCACCCCATTTCACCGAATAATTCTTAAATTAATTTTGTGTTAACACATAGTTATTGTGAATTTATGATTAATAAAACAATAGATAGACACAGTGAACGTATTGCACTAGATAACAATGTTATTGAAATAAATGTCGAAACAATAATATTGTTAATAGGTGATATACCTAAGTAGTAGGTACCTATTATCATTGATATTATAATAATTGTGGTTTGAAAAAAAAATTATCTTTTTTTAACTGAAGTATACCTAGGTAATTTTATTTTCCATCAAGTTAAATATTTTCTTTGTAAACACTTTTAACTGAAATTAATTTAAATGAATTAATTTAACTTGCAACAGTTAATTATTTTCATTAACTGTCTACCTTTAGTAATTTGTAACTTGTAATTTATGTTATGTTAAGTTACTTAAAAAATAAATTTGGCGAAATAAAATGGCAATAAAATAAACTCAGTAAAATGGTATGGCGGCTAAATGGGAGCTGCCCACTTGAACGGTCTGACCGCCTGGGGATCAACAATTTAATAATCGACGTATTGGTCACTAACAAACGCGTGCTTTTCTGCCGCTCGGTCTATTGTATTTGTGTGTGTACCTGTATCAGCATTCAGCGGAAAGTCCACGAGGTCACTGATCAAGACTAGTGGATGCTAGTATACTAGAGGGTGTGTATGAGTGTCTGTATGTGGGTGTGTACTTAAGACAAATGTTGGTAAATAAATGTTAACTAAAACGATAATATGGTAATTAGTAATTTTATTGTCAGTACAAATGAATATGACTAATAAATTATAGGGACCTAGATAAACCTTACAGCAGTACAATACTTATAATAAATATAATAATTACGGCCCTTTTGATCCAACAGATAAAAATATAACGATACAAATCGCGGTGATTTATGCACGAAAAAAAGAAGAAATAAATAAACCTGACAGTATATTTCATCAGTACACTACTGGCCAGCTAATACAAATGGGATTTGGAAAAAAAACAAGTAAAAATATCAAGTGAAAAAAAGCATATGGAAAAAAAAGCAGTATATTCATTTTAAATATTACAATATATAAAAAAGAATTGATACTGAGAATGAGAGCGGTTATTTGTGTAGGTGAGAAGTTGAGAAGGTAGGATAGATAAGGTTTTTTCCATTTATATCTGTAAGCAACGATAAACCATTACTTGACGAAAGACAATTTCAAGCGCAATTAAGTAATTCATAATTTGAAGTGCCGTAATTTTTTTGCGGGTTTCGTTTAAATTTGATTTCAAAATGCTTCTTAAAAAATAAAAAAATCGTCAGATGATTTTGAAATTTCACCACGTTCAGGTAAGTCTAATATAAATATAAATAAATATATAAATAAATATTATAATATATATAAATTATTAATATATTATAATAAATATAATTAAATATAATATATAAATAAATATAATAAATATAATATAATTAATTAAATAATTAATATATTATTAATATAATATATATAAATATTATCACCAAGTTTCAAGCCTCTACGTGTATTTATAACCAAATTACAACAAAAAAACTCTCAAAAATTAAAATTCCTTAAAAGTTGGCTTAAAAGTTTTGGAAATGATACCGTAAGAAAGTAAGTCAAAACGGCAACAATAAGGTGTATTGTGTTTTTTCTGGTAGAAAACGTCATCCGTGTTTTTATAAAATAATGAAATCTTGAAATTCTACGTTTTCCTACGTTTTTTCCCACTAAGTGCTTTTATTTAAAAATGGCGTCGAAAATCAAAAAATTTAAAGTATAAACTAGACAACTTGAACTTTCAGAAAAGGTGCTACACGTAAAAATCGGAGCAAGTTTACTAAGTGAAAACGTGTTCACAGACTAGAACAAAGAAAAAAAAAAAATAAATAAAAATAATCGCCTTAGTAAAACCAATAGCTCCCTCGCTATGCTCGGAATCAAAAAATAATATTATTGGTTAGTACTACATAATATCATATAGTACCGTATAATGGGTACCTACACTATATTTCAATACCATTGATTATTATATTATATATTCAATGATAATGGTTTATGATAATGTTTTCACAAAAATGATTATCGGAGCAAGTTATCGAAATCTGCAGACCATAATCGAAAGTATCAAAAATGACTACTATTGTAGTGTGTGTGTGTGCCGCCGCGACACATACACACAAACGGCAGATTAAAACGGCGAACGGCCGGACACACCGTATAAAAGGGCAAGTCTCGCCGACGCCGCCACCAGTTTTTGCGGATCACTACCGGTCGACACCCGACGGAGTACCGGCTATTACCAATCGACCATTCATGAGCTATATGTTATAAATAATACGTTTGCATACAAACTTACTGAGCTCTAATGTTGTTTGTAATTCTCTCGAAATAGCCGGTACACTTGGATATAATCGAAGAGATTCTTTTATCACTGCGTCCAAGTATTTCATGGCAGTCAAGTCTTCGATTGTTGCATCTCTATCCGAGTCTCCGAAAATCTCAAAAAGCTCATCTCTCGCTTTGTTCTATAATTAAAAATTTAAGAACTTCGCTTGTATAGAATATCCAATTTTTTGAATTTACATACTTGAACATCCTGATGTATGCCCAGCAATATCAAGGTCATCGTCATTGACGAGGACGATGTGTCGTGTCCTTCGAATAGAAACGTATCTACTTCTTCGCGGATGTCTTTGTCTGTCATCTCATCCGGATGCTCTTCCAAAACGTCAAGGAGTAAATCTAAGAATGACTTCTTTTGACGTTTTTCTAAGACACAGAAAAATTAAAATATGGTAGTGGACAATTTAGTTGAGTTAAAAATGACTAAATCACTATAAATATGAATTGGCATATTTCGTTTACCTATAATTTCGTGTTGCTTTTTTTGATGTTTTGAGGTGTTTATTTCCATTTTCTTATTTTTAATCACCTAAATAACGACAAAAGCTAGTGTTTTTTTTTTGGGGGGGGGAGAGGGGGAAATTAGTAACTTTCAAATTTATTACGGTTTTATAAACATCAAATGTCATTTAAACATATATTATACATTTTAACATTAGCAGCAGAAACGGTTTCTATAATTGTCTTTTAGTTGTATACACATTGAAATAAAATATATTTTATATTTTAGGATTCCTCTTTTAATAATGAATAACTTTTATAATTTGCTTTGGTTAATTGTTGTGATTTAAATAATAAAAAAAAAAAATTCAAAGTATAACAAGAGATCTATTGATTTTACTATGATGTGTGTTTTTCTCTATTTGTAAATAATTTTTCATCCAGAAATTTTGATCCGATATATAGACTTTAGCTTGAATATAAGTTAATTTTGTTAAGTTAATACATCACAGAGACCATTTTTGATTTAAAAAAAAAAAAATGGGTAAACCCGGAAAGGAAATTTTTAATAAAATGCAAATATTTATAGTGCGCCATATTGTGTTACCGATATAATTTTTTTTAATTTTTGGAACAAAATTTTTTTACTAAACAAGCTACTTTCATCAAAAAATGACAAGAAACTTTTTTTTGTTAAATTATAGGTCTAAATTCTTAATGCTTACGAAGAAATTTTGATAATAATTATGAAAAACAGAAAAAGCCAAAAAATGAAAACTGATAAATTTACGGCATAGGATTCCTTTACTTTAATTTTTTATGGCTTATGTTTTCTACCCAAAATATTGTTCCAATAGGAAAACAACAATACACCTTTTTTTTGTTGAATTTTTAGTTTAGTTGAAGACCAAGATAGTCGTCTATAGATTTTATTTGTAGTATTTTTGATAATTGAGTAAAACCGAAAAATAAGTAGAAAATATACGAAAATAATTTATCTTATTTAAATATATGTATATTTTAATTTGATAATTTATTTTATTTTTCTATTATTTGACGTGCTAAAATGTTCAGAACATTTGAGCTATTCATAGACAATTTCATTTTGCGAGTTTCTTACATAATTTTTATTTGTTAAGTTTTCTGCGATGACAGTGCTGCAATTACCGGACGCGCGAGCAGGATATGTAGCGTAACATTGATATTGGTAATTGTTCTTTAGTGTTTTATAACCACGGTTAAAGTATTCAACATTGTTAAGATCAACTGATAATGTGATAATAGCTCGAGGATAAGAAATATGGCAAATTCATTAAACAAAAAACCCAAACAACAGATTCTTTTCAATTTATGTTAATGCTTTATTTGCGGGAAAGAGTATTCCGACCATTGCACGAGGTTTCAATACTTTTACAACAACGTAATATGAATCTTCATAATACAAATAATAAATTAGCCGAATCAATTTCATCAATAAAAAATCATAGAAATTACTAAATTGAAATTATGATATTATATGTATGTGATTTACGTTATATTACTTGCAATTAACATCTTACTGACATTGGATCAGTGTAAGAAGAAAGAGCGGAAGGGGGGGGGAATACTGAAAAGCAAGGTAGTTGAACGCCGATTGAGTATAATAAAGACGGTGGGTATATGCGATCACGAATTTGGGGATTGGATGAAGTGAGAGTTTAAGACGAATATTTTTAACTGAATTTAAAAAAAAACTGATCCTAGAGACAGGTGTAGCGATGTTGTAAGTAAAAAGTTAGAAAGGTAGGATACATACATTTTCTTAATTTATATATCTGTAAGAAACGAAAAACGATTTGAAGCGAAGTTTGTGTGCACAAATTTTGAAAAGGCTATAATATTTACGATCTTTGTTAAAATTTGATATTAAAATTCTCATAAAAAAAAAAAGTTATATCAAACTCAATTTTTTATTTTAGACTACTAAGTACGACTTATTGTTTAAATAACTCTTGTCTAAATTTTCAATCATTTTTGTTTGGCATAATGATTTTAACAACAGAGTACTTACAAAAAAAAAAAATTACATAAAAACTCTCAAAATTAAAATGTCTATAAATAGTTTAAATGGCTCAAATGTTTTAACGTATTTAGAAAAGGCCAATATAAGTTTTATTTAAAAATTTCAAGTTTACAGATATTTGTAACTAAATTATTATGAATAAACAAAACTAAAAACAAATAAAATTACTATTTTCGTAAGTTTTCTCATTCTTTTTTACGTTTTTTTTTTCGGTTTTCCTAAATTAATTTATTAAAAAATCTACAGAAGAAATCAGAAAATTCATACTCACTAATAAGGTCCGAAATTCAACAAAAAAAGTTGTATGATACAAAAATACACATAATAAAACCAATAGATCTCTGCGCTCCGAATCTAAAATATATTCAAATTTAATTATAATCAAAAGATTTCGATTATGCTTGTAAGGATTTTGTATTTTATGTATGAGGCCCCTAAAATTGTCCATGGGCTCCAATATTAGTAAAATGTTTCACTATTGAGTATGAGTTTAGTGTTTAAAAAATTAGTTTGCACGTTTTGCGTTTTGTCTATCTATGTCTTTGACAACGAATGACTTATGAGGGAAACTTTAATTTATATTGTCTAAATGGCAGATTTATGCAGTCCAGATATGCACGATTCAGATTTGTACCTTCCAGATTTGAAGTTTTTTAATACCGTGCTTATGCCATCTAGATTTTTACTGTCCAAAATAATTTACTTTCCAGGTTTATATTATGGATTGTCCGCTTGTGTAACTTCCACTACATTATTGGTAATCGGACTAAAATTTATATATACAATTAGAAAAAAAAGTTAAAAAAATTTAGACATACGTATTTGTTTACGTTGCTGATGTCACAATCATAATTTTGTAAATGCATTATATTATTTCAGTATAATATTTTTAAATTAGGTATGTTATATACAAACATTATCGGTGAATTCGTGTAGTACTCTGACTGATTTGAAAAATATTCGACCGCTCGGGCTTATTTTAAATAACAGATCATTCCACAGCCAAAATTTAAATACTCGTTCGACCACCGATCTGCAAGCACTTCAAAACATACATTGCTTTATACATGATGTTTAACTTATGAACCAACGATTTTCTCGAATGATTTTATGTGAATTTAATTTTCATCAAATAACCTTATTTTTTTTTTTTTACAAACGGTAAAATCTGATATTACTATTATGTTTATACAAATGTGTAAAAAATATCCTGTTTTTAATCTGTGTTCAAAAAGGAAGGGGTTATTTTAAAATCAATGTGTATACATATTTCAGGTATACGAAATAGAGGTAAAAATTGAAAAAATTGCTAAAATAAAACTTAAATGATTTTGATATTAAAAAAAAAAAAACAGAAATCAAATTCACTTTAAATCTTTCAAGAAATTCATTGGTTCATCATAAGTTGACCGCTCTGTGTAGTAAATACCGCAATTTGCGGTTATTCATATGATTATTAAAATATTTTCAAAACATTTGTGTTATTTTAATTCTTTACTAATATTACAATTATATATTATAAACTGTGTCACAAATATTGTACGTTTCCGATTTTCTACAAGGTGTAAGGCGGTCGCTCTCTCCCTTTGTACGCGTTTAATATTCCATGCATTTGAATGTATCTGATAAAATGTGTGTTTTTAATAATTCTTTAATTATAATTTTTTTTAAAAAAAAAAAAAAATTGTTTTACCAAATATTTTGATATTTTAACATTCTCCCGACCTCCTGTTTACTATAGATATTCGGTTATGAGTACAAAACTTTATAATACGATTCATTGTTATTGTTAATTTAAAATTGTTGTTTTGCATTTACGGATGTATTTGATGTTATAGTATAACTCGTGACATAATATTTTAAACACACTATCTACGGAATGACGTAATTCTTGAATAATTCAGATTTTATGAATAATAAACAATCATTAAAAAAACAGTGTGAACATCATGTTAATGATCTATTATTATTTATAATATTATTTTTCATATGGCGTGTTATAATATAGGTAACTTTATGCCATCCTTTAGCACGTGTTGATACTGTGGGTTTTCTAATTATAGTTTAGTTAATTTGTTTTATAATCAAACGAAAAATATTCGCTGGACGTTAAATAATAAAAACATATTGTTCACGAAGTATGAATTAAAAAAAAATCTACATATGGGATTTATATTATTTGATAAATGATAGGTACTCAAATTTTCCGAACACTATAATGATATTAAAAAAAAAAATAATCGTAAAACACATAACTATCTAAAACATATAATTAGGCATTGCACATTGTAAGATAAAAACATTTTTCTAGTAGACAAAATAATATTACCGTGGTATCTATTTCAGAACACTTTATAGGTATGAATTGTATAATCAAAATAATGTACTATAACGTTTATAAACTTACTGTTTAATACTTTGGACGTATTGACACGAATCGCCTTTCTGTGCGTTCATTTCACTGCCCATAATTGTTTCTTAAACACAAACAAAAATCTATTATTGCAAACATTATGCAGTAGTCGATGATTAAATTTCCTCTGATTTTTAAAATTTGTCTAGCCACCACTTTACCCCCCCCCCTCTAGAATCGTAACTACGCTACATCGTCACTAAGTACATATTAAATTTATATACTATTCCAATATCAATGAATATCGCTAGTTTACCACACATCATGTCCAGAGAACACAACGTAATGTATTCGTCGATAACGATTTCCTTGTCGTCGGCCGCGGCATCCAACAGTTTATTCGCCAACACTCGAGAATGTTTGTTCGTCGACTGATTGTACATGTTTAAAGTATTTAAATGAAAAGCCTTTGTCAGTAATTTTCGTCGATTTTGCCATTTTGTACCTAAGTATTTAAAACATTACATAATTCGTCTATCATTGTTTAAATAGGTACTCGAATTTAAATTAGATACCTAGGTGCCATTTTAATTTAAATAAACATTTACCCGAACTTAATAGTAGACCGTTATTCAACCAAGGTTTTAGTAGATTGTACTCAGGTCCTTTGGTAATGTACTTTGGACTGGATAAAAAACACTGTTCAATAATATTAACATTTAATTTACAATAATAATATGAAGACCATTACAGAGACGGTGCCCAGGTGGCATTTTAACATGCTTCATTTGGTTTCAGACCCGATCGAATATTATACTTAACCCAATATGAAAAGTTATGCTATAACTCAAATGTTTACATAGTAAAATTTAAAAAATTCAGGACGCATTGAGTAACATGTTAATCATAAAAATTTCGGTGTCGGTTTCTGTAGTGTCAATTGCGCAATACATTTTTGCCCTTTTTTTTTTTATAAAAAAACACGCGTCCAATCTCCGTATATGATTTAAACATTTTGATTTTGCTTCGAGGCTCAACTCAAATTTTTCCCTGTTACGTACCCAACATGGTTTTGCGTAAAAAATCGAGGGTTATTTTCATTTAAAATAATTTAAAATCTTAATTTTTTCATATCGGGTGATGCATAACATTCGATAGGATCTGAAACCGGGTGCAGTATGTTAATATGTGCTCGGGTGAAAAAGAATAAGTACATTTTACAATTTGTATTATTTACTGTACAATATTGTACATTATAATAATCCACATTAATTGACATTAAAAATGAGAAAAAACAAATGTGGTTAACTTGTTCATAAAAACCTATGAGAAAAAGTGATTAATCAACAATTGCACAAATAGGGAAAACTTAACACATAAAATTAGTTGTATCCCCATCACATCTCATATAACTGGTTATAATGGTCATTGAAATATTTAATATTGCCATTGTTAAATTCAAAAGCTGCAAAGTTTTGGATCTAAATCTCAAAACTTTGTTAAATACGAGCGTATCAATGAAACCAAACGTTTTAACCTACATTTTGATTCGTAGCTACATTAAATATTCATAACGAAATATTGAAATACGATTTTAAAAAAAGATATAGATAAGATATAGCAGATTACCCTTTGTAGCATTATGGTGTTATAGACAAGATATTTATTATTTTTTCTTTTTTATGTAAACTGTAAAGTAAGTATGCTAAATTTAAATTTTTCCAAAAAAAATTTGATTTTCAAAAAATAATAATAATAGATAAGCGATAAGAAATACAGATTTATCTACACTTTTCGCGTTTTCATTATGCATTTTCTCTTAAAGTTTACACATCGCATATAACCTCTTATCAGTATTGCATATAACATCACTTTAACCAATACCCCTACTCTCGCTTTTTGACTACTTTCACCCTACACCCCTAAATATAATTATTATATACCACGGTGTATAACTGGTAGATGACTGATAATGGTAGGTGAGAAGAAAACATAGTAAGAAGAGGAAGAGCTAAAAAAGCTTTACCCTCTCCCATCCTATTAACCACAATAAATACAAAAAACGAATAATATAAACTATTCAGCATCGGACAATTATCATTAGTAAAATTATAATTACTTCACATTTGTACCACCTACTTATTCAACTAGTACAAATAATTATTGTACCTTCTATATAATTAATAATTATGTGTTTTTTTTCTTCAAGTTTTTCTAGTTTGCCCCTTCCCCATTAAAAATCTATGAATACGTCACTGAAAAATATTTTTTTTTTTGTATAATATGTTCATTGTACTAATTTCCTTTTATCTATATTTATATTATTATTATTATATAAACTATAATCTATATGTATTTCCAGGTAATTTAATATTCGTCCATGCTTCGTAATTTTTTTTTTTTTTTGAATACCAAATCAATATAACTGTACATAAAGCGTTAAAAGTCCTAGGTTTTACTCCTACTATGAACAAAAAAAAATAGTTGTGAGCAGTGGTATATTGAAGGGTATACGTAGATCCCAATTTTTGGATTTATATGTATATCTCGTTATACATTGAATTTGAAATACTTTTAAATTAATCTATTTACATTCTTATATAGAATCCCGGAAAAAAAATCCCTGTAAATAAATACCCGAAGCAACTATATTGTCAAAATTATATGTGCCTCTCTATAAAACAAAAATGGAATATAGTATAATCACCAATGGTTTGAGGAGTGTATATTGCACACACAGCTGTCAAAAATAATAATAAATAATTTAAAAAAAATATAATGGTTGTTTTTAGCTAAATGCTTAATCTGAAATTGTCTACCCGGTTAAAGTAAAATCTCGGTTTTAAAATTTTGAGGAATGATTGCCTTCTGGATAACACCGTTCAATTATTTGACGATAATTTATACATATAAATAAAATTGAAGTAAGTATGTTTGTAAACTTTTTTAAATATTATTATTATTAATAGTATAGTTGTTTCGGGGTTTTTCTCGGATTACCCTTATGTAGACATACAAAATTGATAAATAAAAAAGGGGAGTGGGAGGTTTACGTTCTAAAAAATAGGGGTTTATTTTTTATTAGCTAGGGTAGGTAAATCCGGCTACGTGTATATTATGTGTACATAACATATTTATGTTTGGTGCTAATTCAGTATGCGCTCTATATAAATCTTTTATTTCGATTTTTCATATTAATGTAATTTTATTCGATTGATTAACGATAAGAAAATAGTGTTTTATTTTATTGTTGATTCGTGTTCTGAATGTCTTCCAACAAACCGTGAAATAGGTTAAAATTGTTTTTACGGTAATGTCGCCAGCAATAGTGATCATGATGGACTGCAAATTTAATGATTAAGTTGCAAATTATGGCATATTATGATCTCATTCGATACTACCGTTACTACATTTTTTGATAGCACCATTTTTTTTTTTTTTGTAAACGATATTCAAATTAAAAAGTAAACTTATTTATGAAAACAAAGACATATATCAATAATATTATAATAAATAGCTATTTTACTCATTTTTACCACGGCATAACAAATTCAAAGTTCTCTTTGACATTATGAGCCGACTTAAGTATACTGTATTTTTAATTACTTTAACTTAATACTACGGTATTTCTTAATAAGTTGACTTACTTTCAAATCATCGGCTTCATTAAGCAAAACGTACGATCGCCCCGCGAGCTTGAAATGAAAAATCGGACCGTGCTTCTTTATCAGTTCCCAGTAAAACGGTAATATTTCTGAATCAATAAAAAACAATATTTACACTAACGATTTAATGGATTTTTCTATAATAACACGACCGGTTAATTTTATTTTAGGGATACCCTGGTAAACAGGGTATCCCACGAATATTTTTATATTGCGATATCTCAGAAAGTATTACTTTTTTTAGAATTTCGTTTTTTGACAATTTAAGAAACAAACAGCTCTAAAATGTAACGTAATTGTTATTTTTTGTCACCCTTATTTTGGAGAGTAAAACGACTAGGTAGCTACTTTTAATTTTCTCCTCTACCCAAACATAGAATTAATATATCTGGGTTGTTGGGAAACAACAAGTACAACACTAAAATGTATTTAAACATTTTAAAGTAATATCCCATCTATGTATGGACTTTTTAATTTAGGTTACTATTTTAAAATCAAAAGTAGGTAGTCCCCCCCGCCAAAAAAAAAATAAAAAGTGACAAAAAATAACGAACATTTTATAGTTACTTTTTTCAAAAAGAAAAAATGTAAAAAAGTAAATGCTTTTCAAGATATTGCAATGCAATATTGACGTTATATAACGTTGATATAATATCAACGTTAAACACTGTATTTATAATGTATTTTTTTTTTAATTTTTTAAAACAGACATAGGTACTTCTTTATTAATAACCATGAGGAAAAAGTGTTTTAGTTTTTGGGCTGCGTAGTTAATAATTTCGTTTAAGCGACGATACAACAATCTACAGATTGTGCATTTAATATTCATATTAACTTCGAAATTTTGGATACATGGACATTGTCGACAAATTCACGAATATCATTTCAAGTATTTGAATTTATTTATAGTAAACAAATAGTTATGATACATAAAATGATGTGGATTTTCCGGCCGGTAGTATAATTATATTTGTTTGAAAAATTTTTCTAGATTTACAAAAGTTTTTCTGAACATAAAAAAAAAGCTGACAACAATTGAAAACTATAAAAAAATTGACTTAAACCCTTTTTCATTGGAACCTAACAACTGTCTTATATTCGCGAAGCAATATAGTTTCGTATATTATAATTTTGAATCGTAATATTTTCGGCGACACGGTTATACATTGTACGTAAATACAAACAAATATTCAGACTTGGATAGAATATTTTTTAAAAGCAATTAAAATAATTATTGGAATATCTACATAAAAAAGTTATTCAGAATTCGTATTCGAATACTTTACAAAAATAGTATTATTAAAATATTACAAATACTTTGTGAAAAGTATTCGGACTATTTTATGAAAACGTGTTATAAAAGCTGACCTAGGATAATGGGGACGAGTGCAACCACTGTTATAAGTAAGAAAATGGGAAGATAGTAGAGGAGAAATTTAATATATATTTGTACGCAATAATTAACCATTTCTAACGAAAAACAATTATGAGCGGTGTTCGGTTAATAGTGTTGCTTTGTCAACAATATATATATATTATGGTAAACTAATTATATATGCATTAAACGTGTTCTTTACTAATATTTTCTTAATGAAATAAAGGAAAATAATTTAAATGATATTTTAAATGTTCAAATCGGTTTTAAAAATAATATCTTATATCAATATATTTTAGATAATAAATAATAACCAAATAATTTAAATTACTAAACATATAATTATTTCTACATTCTATGTAAAACAACCAATTTGTAAATTTTTTTTCTATGTATTCCTTCATTTAATTTTTTTATATACATTCGCATTTTACATTTTGACTGTGGTATACCTGATGATGAATTTTTAATTCAATACTGGTTGTATAATAATACTTACCATAATACTCCAGGCAACGCATACATTAATTAATTAATTTTATTTTTATATACATTTTTTTTTATTTATATATTTATTTACGAGTTTTCTAATAATTTTGTTCTTACTTCATTTTTTTATTATTTAATATTTGTTTAACATTGTACCTATTTTCCGTTTTTCCTACGTTTTTCCCATTTATTGGGAAAACTCCACGAAAAATCAAAAAATAACTAGATTTTTCTTAACAGAAAAAATTCTATTATTATAAATCGGAGCGAAATTGCTGGTAGAAAAGTTGTTCACAGGAAAAAAAAGGCCGTAAAAAGTTATAGGCATATTTCGTTCATGGTCGTAAAAAAATCGTAGTAAATATGAAAGCATTTAGAGTTATACGTGATTTATTTTTAAAAATACAAATTTTTGACAGAAAATTTTTAAATTAACAAAAATAATTTGTTCATTTCTGGTTTAATTATGTATGTTGGTTGATAGCATAACAGAATAGCTATAAAATAAAAAAAATTAGGTTCATCAGTTGAAAAGTTTTGAAGACACACAACCTAAATGTATGGTAGGTACGGTTTTATTAAAAAAAAGACTAAAGAGCCCATAACTTAAAAATAAAAATGTTAGACCCCCCACTTTAAAGGGGGTTTCTCCATCATTTTTGGAGTACTTTCATATGACGCTGGCCGGTTATTACCCCCTGTAACACGTTGTATTTTAACACTTGAACATTTTTGTTCAATGAAAAAAATACTTTTTAACACTCTTTGGAATAGAGTATTTAATAATTCCGAAAAAAGTATTTTGAATATGGTATACAGGATTGTAAATTCAGAATACTATCCATGTCTGTAACTTTTATATACTATTACTACTATTAGTGATAGTATAATATTACTATTTTATACCTCTCGGCTGTTTCATTCCGAAGTGCAGTGAAAATTTCAATTCGCTCCAAAGGGATTTCGTGATGCATGGCACGGACGGCGAAATCTTCCGGTATTCCAGATAATTCTGCAGCCGCATATAGACGAATAACAATAACGAGAGCGCTGATGGGACCAGTAAAAAATGGTACGCGTTTAATTCGAACATTTTTTTTTTATTTTTTTTATCACTAGTATAAATATAAAAATGAATAAAACCAACGTTATTTAGTTTGTTTTAAAATTGTATGTTTACACAAATGCGCAATTTCGACGATGTAAATAGGTCTAGTGTAAACACAAAACTTTTCTGCTTTAATAATAAATAACGAACACGCGTTGTCGTGAACCGCGATACTCGCGAAAAATGTTTAACGATTCTTTCGATTGTCTAAACGAAAAACTAATACTGGATGAGTTATTCGTGTTGTGTCGACACACTGCAATGCTGAATTGAAATAGGTGAGTGAATATTAAATTGTTAGAGACCACAGGTCGGCGTCGGTCACACTTGACTCAGCAGAGCCAGTTTGACTAGTTATGTGGATTATAATGTTACACTAACAATTTTCTTGCCGTTTCGTATTACCCCCTCAAAATTGAGACGCCGCCCACGTAGTTGCCACAAGGTTATATCGACGATTTTTAAATACAATTTTCGTATGTAAATATTAATATATTATACTAGTCAGTTTTTGAATTTTAATGTTATACATTGCTCACTCGGATATAATGGTTTTACTACGATGTGTATTAACTTTTTTTTCTGTATGTGATGAAATTTTCTATCAGTAATCTTGCTCCGATAAAAATTAATAAATACTTTTTTTTTATTAAATTTGAAATTAGTTCGTGAATATAAAAGTCGGTTTTTATTTTCCGTTTAGTATTCTTAATAATCAGGCAATACCGGAAAAAAGTAGAAAGAATGAGCAAGTTTAAAGAATTAACAGTTTCATTATTGTTAATTTTGTTTTTTGTTGTAATTCATATAATGATAACTATATATCCGATCCTAATATTCATAACTTTTTAAACCGTTTATCGGTAGACCGTGAGTACAAGCAGAAGGTTATAATATTATAATTAGATTCTTATAGATACATAAAATTACAGGAAATGAAAAAATATTCGATTTGGATACAATTTTTAATGAAATTAGAAAAACACGTTAAAGAGAAAAAAACGGGATTTGAATTTGTTGAATCTAACGAGCGTTACAAATAACTGTATTGTTATATACATTGTACATAGTTTCAATTTATTTATTTTTATTTATTTATTTTTATAACACATTGTATGACTCCATGGTTCAAAAAAAAAAAAAAAATGAATAATCATTTGATCAATTTGTATTAAGATAAATTAAAATTATTAGGTTTAATTGTATACTGTAATTAATAAATGTTATAATATTATATTCGTATGCTATACGTTAAACACGTGTGCCTAATATCCAGGTAATAAAATGTTAGCAAATATTGTATATGAAGCAATTAGATAAAATTGTGCCCAATTACCGACCATTTTATGATAAACATTTGTCGCAAAGGTACTCGTCGAAATATAAAAGGGACAAAGTCCGAAGTTATACCAACTATTGATGTGCAAAAACCTAATTGCACCTAAATGACCGGACTTTCATCTTTGACCGGGGGGGGGGGTATGCATCTCACACCATTCGGGGCATTCTTGTTTGATCGGAAAATAACACACTTATTGACTGCCGCAACAGATATTCTCATAATTAATTATTACCGGGGACTAAGGCAAACATGTCGAAAATGCGGCCCGTGACTTATTCGAATGCGGTCCCAGCCACATTGAAAAACAAAGTAAAATGCTGCCCAAATCAAAGTATTGTTACGGGGGTCGTCTCACACTCTGATCGTATATCATATTGTATAGCATAAAGTATGGGATTTACAGCAGCATAACAATAGGTAATTTACTGCGCCGCAATGCGAACGGCTATTTGTATATTTGAATATTCGGAATATTATTATAACACGGACGTCAATACCTGACCGAACACTTATGCGCGCATTTCACAAGACCCGGATATTAGAGGCCGAGTGCGTGACGTTTATCGCGTCCGATTATTTAACATGATATTGTCGAAAAGCGCTAATCACCAAGCATATCTAGCTTGGTGGTTCAGGGCAGTCTAGAATTTTTTTTTTTTTTGGGGGGAGACTGAAAAAAAATGTAACAAACGAAATTGTTTTGAACTTTATGTGCATTATAATCACACATTAAACATTTTATTACCATTATACAGCGTTAATTATATAAAAGTTGAAACATTTATTTTTTTCAAAAATTATAAATGTATATTTATTTTTCGTTTTGATGTTTTAGCAAGTTCATCTATAATAGTAGTCTCAAACATATGGCCCGTGTACCCTTTCCACGTGGCCCGCATAAAAATACATTTAAACAAAAATATACGAAAAAATTGTAAAAATGTTATTATTTTTTTTTTCACGCGTCATAAAGACATAGATTACAGAATATTATCTGACATTCATAATATTTTATTTTTATATTAATCGTTCAGAAATCCCATTGTTCTCGATAAAGCATTTGAAATGCATTAAATCTAATCTATTAAGATAAATATCATTTGTATTTCGGTGTAGGTGCCGATGTAGGTTACCGATGAAACGTAAAATTTACTAATAAAGACGGGCTTTTCAAGAAAAATGGGGCTATGCATACTTTTTTACTAATTCTAATTCTCTTCCAATATGTTTGATCTTTAAACAAACTGTATCTGTCATCAGGAGTACAACATTAAAAGACATTATGACACAAACCATGGTAAGAATTAAGATGAATTTGTAGGAAACTTACACGAAGAAAAATTTAAAGAACTAAAAAAAACTCTCTCGCATCAAACAAAATTATTTGATAATTTAATAAGAGAAAATATTGATTCGGTTAAATGTAGTTACGTTATATTAGGAAATGTACGTTAAAACCTTTTTCTGACGGTGAATTTATTAAAGATTGTATATTTAATGTAATGAAAGTAGTATGCCCTGAAAAGAAACAAGCATTTATGTATATAAGTGTTTAAGTGGAAATACTATTGCTCAGAGAATTGAAGAAATAGCTAACAATTTTAAACAATTGCATGAAAACGATTTTTAAATTTTTCTATTGCTGTTGATTTATAAAATATCTTATAATATAAATATCTTGGAAACAGTTATCTAAAACTAAAGAATCACTTTTCTAACATTTTAGCCTTGTTCGGTAGCTCTTATATATATGAACAATTATTTTCTCTCATGAAATTAAACAAATCGAAAAGTCGCAACCAAATTTCAAATGTTAAATTAAAACTTTTTTACATTTAGCATCAAGAAATTCTTGTGCAAACATAGACAACAAAAGATGTCAAGTTTCAAGTGCAGCTCAAAAATAAAAATAAACAAATAACCAAGTTATTTTTAAATTTTAATTCTAATTTTTTTGTAAGTTAATATTCATTATATTTTTTCAGTGATAATTTTGTAGTAATAAGTGAAATAAACAACTATTTTGTTTATATTTTTATAAATAATTTTGGTAATAGTAATTATAAGAAAAATAATTTCATAATATATTAAGTCATTTAGAATTCAAATAAATGGATTTTATATGTATCTTTGCCTTCAATTTGTCTTCAGTTTTTAATGTATAAGTAAAAAAGAGGAAACTTAAAACTTGGCCCACGAACTTTTTTTAAAAAAATATATGGCCCGTAGATAATTTGAATTTGAGATCACTGATCTATAATATCATTAATATCCATGATGATATCACGATGAATTTTTTTAGTTAGGCTAAACCTTTTAAACTTATTTGTCCCGGAGAATTTCTCAAATGTTTTCAAACGAGTTGAAAACGATCGTTCTCCCGTTGACACTGGAAGTGTTATAAATATTCGAAGAAGTTTAGATATTACTGGATAAACATCTGAGCTAGTTTGGAAGTTTACTTCATTAGTATTTTTGTTCTTGAGTTCGGAAGATTTTAAATTTGAATGTTAAGTGTACCACAAATCTAATTCTCCGTTCAGTATATTATCATTTAAATTTGAATCGTTACATTCATCAATTATATCTTGATATGTTTCTACTAATTGTTTGAATTTACCTTTAATATCTTCAGATATTTTCATTTCTATCTTAAGAAAAATATAATCAAAATTATTCAAATTATTGTGTGCTAAAAATATTTTGTTCAATTGGTTTAAACAAATATTTATAAAAGGTATGAATACTTAAAAAAAAATTCTGGATCATCGGATTTAGATTGGAGTGGTAAACTAATAGTAATATCAAATTGTTCACATACAGTTTATTACGGATAAAAATAATTGTTGAAACTCTACACCACAATTTTCTCTAATATCTTGAATATTAATTTGAACATTAGCAGCCTATATCGCAGTTTTTAAATTAAGATTTACTGTTTGAAGATATCGGCTAAGTAGAAAACTTAATGAAAGTATTTTAACTAAAAATAAAGCTAAATAAAGCTGTTTGAAATTGTAACTATTTTATCGCAATAAGAAGATGACTTGTAGAACTAGAAGTGTCAGAATCTGAGTGTAAAAGTGTAATTTCATCTAGTGCATGTAAAATGGCTGTTTGAAGTTTTTTAAATAATATAACTGCATCATGGCGATCGACCCAACGAGTAACAAATAGATTTTTTAGTTTACAATAATTAGTCTGTGGATATACTTCTTCTATTGACAATTACAAAATACTTTGTCTTTTTGGATAACCGAAAGCGATAACCGATAACCATTGAGCTTACTTATTATTATAATATACACATTACACTGGACCGAATTTGTGTATTATTAATTTGTATTATTTGTGTAAACTGTTAAGTGTAATAACACTTTTTCTTTTTTCAAACTTTTAGTATTTTGTTTTTTATTTCGAAAATATTTTGGAGTGGTTACAATCCCCCAAACCCCTCTGGATACGCCACTGATCCAAGGTATGTATATCGGCTGCCAAAAACATCTTTTCAGTCGAGTCTCACCACTATAATCTGCAAGGACCTTCACGTCAGATTGAATTGTAAATTTAATTAAAAGTGTTTGAAATATTTTTAACAATTAATTATACTTATATACAAACTACTAAGTATAATATTTTCGACTTTGGTCATAAATATACCTGAACTTAAGTCTGAAAATACGCTCGCAACAGTAAATAATAAAAAAATATATATTATTGAGTATACATTTATATTTTCTGTACGTTTCAAATGTTGTTAACTGCGTATATAATGTCTAAAAATTGAAAAATATAACACATTAATATTATTATGTTACGCATATCGTTTATGTATATATTTCTGTATAGTACTATCAATAAAAAACCGATAATATTAATATTAAAAATGTTTCAAATTTAAGGAACAAATTCAATAAGATAGGTTTACTCAGTTTCTATAAGTACGTGCCATCAAAATTTTTAGAAACTTTGGAAGTTCTGTTACAAGAAATAAATAAGTTTACCAATTTTTCATTTTATTATTGAAATTAGATATATATTACCATATACTACAGAGTTAATAAAAGAGTATGGTCCTGTTTTTTATTTTAGTCTAGTCGGATGATCGTACGGTATACTCAACGATCCAGATGATTTGAAAGTAAGTACTGTATACAATTATATCGTATTTATTTTTATAACTTCTGAAAGCACAAGGCTAATAACTGTTATTATACTCAACCAAAAAATGTACGTATAAATTAATAATTACAAGTATATTATTGTATTTATAGTATACATAGTTATAAAAGATGAAAATTTATCTATTAGAATTCGTTTTAGTTATCTATTGACCGATTTGACGGTTTACCTATACAATATGAACACGATCCGTTAGAGATATATTATAAAGAGTGATTTTTTAACATGATGTAAATTTTCAAGGATTATATGTTAACTTGATTTCTACTTTTTTTTTTCACTCCATTATCATTATTGATATTTTATAATCTGAATATGTAATAAATGCGTAAATTTATACAAATCAAACCCCCCAAAAAAGAAACTCCTGTGATGTCTGTACGCTCTATATCTATTTTTAAATGTAAGTCTTGCCATGTCTATAATGTGACAATGGTTATAATAAAATGTGGTTATACATATTTAGTTACAGGACTATATGATTATTTAAGAGTATGTAAAATAACTATGAATCTAAAACTATTTTATGGTTTTTTTTTTTTTTGTAAATTTGAATGTCAATGTATAAAACAACAACACAATAATGATCATAGACAAATTATTTTCATTAATTTTATTGTTGAACAAATTATGATTTTATTGTTCAATGGATATTCTATTAAAATCTTTATGACAGTATTATAATTTTTATTTGAAAACGACTGAAAATAAACTTAAACGTAATAATATTATGTCTATAATAATCAATTTAAAATGAAAATACCTTTATATACTGTTATTGTTGTACTTTTAGATTCTTAGTGGAGCGAAGAAGCGTATTGTTTTACAAAGATGTTTATTTTTTTTTCTTCTGTGGACAACTTTTCTGTCAGTAATTTTACTCCAACTTTTAATTATAGCAATTTTCCTACAGGAAATTTCACTGGAGGGTACTTTAAAGAGGCTGTTTCTTTATTTTCTCCGAAGTTTTCTCAGTTAATGTGAAAAATTGGGAAAAACTTAGGGAAACCGGTGCAACATTAAACAAAATTATTAAAGAAAATTTATAGAGCTTACTTAATTATTTTACTGTAATGTGGTATATTTATATATTATTGACTAAGCACAAAGCATCACTATCAATTGGACTCTGCTTAGAATCGTTTTTTTGTTAGCAATGGTTAATCGTTGCTAACAGATACATATTAAATTACCTAAAACAGTGGCTGCACCTGTCCCCATTATCCCAGAACGTCTTTTTATTTATGACTTTACGTTTTTAGGACATATGGTGTGGATGTGTTTGCCTGTTTGTTTTTAGGTACTTATTACTTATGTAATAAATTATGTTTATAATCTGTGGTAGATAGTAATTGGTTTTTTATAAGATTAATTAATTATAAAAATGGTCCAATAAACAATCAATATATTATAGGTGGTGTACTCGAAAAATTAAACTGACCAAGTTTCGTTCCTATAATCATCTACTGCAGAGTTGACATTTAATGATTTTTTTTACTGCCTATAATATGCATACCTAATTATAACCTTAGAAAAAAAACAAAATTTATACTTTAAAGCACTAGATTGTGTCTCCGTAACTTATCCAGACCGGTAAATAATCGACATTTCGAAAACTTTTTCTTATCTTATCTTAAAATATAAATGTATACAACAGGGACAATTGGTACACACATTGCGATTTTAATTATAACTGAAAAAAAAAACTGTATAATTTGTTATTCTGATACATATATTAATTACCGATTGGTAATAGGATTCACTGGACGTGTGCATATATAATAGTATCATACATATATAATTAAATTTTACAAAATTTCAGTTTAATAGTCGTTTCTAATCTATTAATTAGTTGCATACTAATTTCAAAATCTTCTTTCTTCGCTAACGTTTCGATTTTCGCAAAATAGTCGATACGACCGTTTTTATTTGGAGCATTTGGAGCACGTTATTACCATAGTATCATTATTTGCAGGGGAGTGTTTTAACGGGCGAATGTAATTTTCTACGCGAGATCTAACAGGTAAAAATCACCCATGCATACCTACGTAAGTGCCGACATGAATACAAATTACAATGAATACAATTTTTTTTCCCACTTAATTCAGACTTAGGACTAACAACTTATAGTCAGAACCTTGATAATCACTAGATCAAACACTAGAGGGGCGTACTATAATTCTCTATGTAATTATTCGAACTTTCCGTGAAAATAAAGAATATTCGACCGTATTGTGTCTGTTATACACAATTTGCTCTACAAACTTCCGAAATGAAGCCAATGGTATGAAATATTTTAAATACATGGCATTCCGCGTTGACCGAAAAAACGTAATAATAATTTAGAATAAAACATATATAGAGTGTTCTACAATGTTATCGGTCGGCTAATAATTTTCTCAATATTCATTTTTTTTTCAATCGGGTTTTGTGAATGGGGACATATGTATACATATATATATATATATATATATATAGAAAAATACAATTTTTATTTTCATCCCTTAATCACTGAAAAAAAATAACATTTTATTTTATCGCGTTAAAATATTCAAAATAGCCAATTTATAAAAGATATTTTTCTAAAAATTTGAATGTATCATTCTCATCACATTGCACATTCTTATTCTATTAATAGTTTCTTAATTATAGTGGCTTTAATGTTTAAAAAAATAAAATGTATGGATACGAAAACAATTGATATTCAATAGAAGATAAGAAATGAACGCACTGATCTGTTATTCCTTATCGCGTAACGTGTTTTTCTACACAAAATAATTTTTTTCACGTCTAATTTCTTTATATTAAAGCCACTAAACTAAGAAATCATTAATCGAATATTAATGTATGATATATTCAGATTTTTAAAACAATATAGTTTGAAAATTTTAAGAAGTGAAGAAATAAAAAAAAAATCCTTAAAATTTAAAGGATCAAAATAAACATTTTACTTTTCTCTACCTATGGGCACCCCTCTCATAAAACCCGATTTAAAAAAAAAAATCGATAGAGCTATTATTTGACGGATAATATTGTATGACACTCTGTATAGGTAAAATGAAAGAAAAGTGTTTCATTGTTATTTTGAAAACACGTTAGATATGTGTACAAATATTAGGAAATTACGAAATATGTATAGGTACTTTGTTTTGTTTTAAAATCGACGAAATCTGCATTTTAAATTGTTTTAGTGTTTAATCTCGGATCATACATGCTATGAAATAATTGTTAAATTACGTCCAAATTCAATAAATAGTAACATCTGTTCTAAACGCTATACGAGGAATAATATAGAACTAAAGTTTTTCTATAATTTACTCTTTAATAGAACGGACATATTCAACTGATTCACCTTGTTGAGCTTTCAATTAGTACCCATAAAGGTTTCTTAAAAACAAAAAAGTACGATGAAATTCATAATATGTTTTTAAATTTATGAAATCATATAACTGCATATTTTGGATTCTTATATTCAATATTAATTGGTAGGTAAACAATATGCATTAGGTTTGTATAAAGAGTAATCATAATACATCCTCTCCCCCAATAATTTATTTATTCAATTTTTCAACAGATTATTTATAAAAATCTGATTAACTGTACATTATTGTGTTTGAAATAAGTTTTTATCAGTGTGGCAATAATGATATAATTATATCTTAAGAATAGTACAGGAATAACGGAGATTAAAATTATAATGTTAGTACCTAGGTACTATAAATAACGAACTATATAATAATTAATAAATAATAACTATAACTACTGTAAATAACGAACGGCATATGATCATCTTGAATTTTGAGTTCTTCTTTAGCAATTAATCTGTTTTTGGAAGTATTCCCTACAGATAAGTGGCTACCACTATTATTTACACATTGTTGGTTAGATATAAGGAAATTGTAAATGTTTACGGTATATGTACACGTGCGGTTACAATTTACGGCACATATAACTATTGTTAGTAATGAAAATCATTTAACGAATTGAAATTAGTCAAGAACTACCCAATAGAAGACTCCAGATTACACAATTTGAAATTGCTATCTACTGAAAAAGATTTGGTGAACATCATTTCTTTAGACAAAATGACTAATAAATGATTTACTCTAAGAACACAAAGAATATTGATAATAAATGATCACTTATAAATAATGAGTAATGATCAATAATTTATTAAAACAATTATTACATAGGTACATTTTTACTTGGTATTTGTTATTTACTTTTATGAACATGAACTATAAAACCATTTTGCTGTGTTTATTTTAAAAATAAGTATTGTGTATTATATTTTACACGTGCAAATTAAAAATAAAAGATATTAATAATTTATTACTTCAGGCCCTAGGCCCTAAGGTCATTTTTTATTAATATATTAAATTATGTTTAGTTAAATATTTTATTATTTATTTTTTGTTTGCACATTTTCATAATTAATGGTAATGGGTGTTTTTTTTATAATGAGTATCATAAATTGTGTTTGGTATTACTTATTTATATAATGATGAAAAAGCTTCGAAGAGATAACGAAAACAAGTTGTCCCGGATCAATGTTTAAAGTTGGCCAAACTTTGACCACCCTCCTCCCTTCCTCAATGAAAACAATTTTGGTACGTCCCTGCTTATTCACGGCTTCATCCAACAAAATCAAAATTCAATCATCACTTATTATGTCCAGAAAACATAACTTCACGTAATCCTCGATAACGATTTTCGTATTTTTCGATGACATTTCCAACAGTTTTTTCGCCAATAATCACGAATGTTTGTTTATCGATGAATTGTACATGTTTAACGTTTTAAAATGGAATGCTCGAGTGAACATCTTCCGCCGACTTTGTCATCTTGAACCTATACATTATAATAAATATAATACAATAAAATAGCGTCTTTATCGATTATATCTGTGATTATAAAAGTCACTTGAAAAATCAAAAAAAGATCTCCCTAAAGTACTATGTACATAAATTAGATAAATTTCCTTTCGGAAAATAACCTACATTTGATGTATCGGAGCAAGATTTCTGGTATAAAAGTTTGCACAACACATCGAGGGGTATTTTGCGTTCAAAATAGTCCGAGAGAGCGATGACTTGGGTCTCTAGGTACATCCAAAAAGCATTTGTTTTTTTTTTGTTTAAGTAAAAGGGGGAAAAAAATAAAATAAAATAATAATAAATAATAATAATTGACACCTAATTTCTCGTGTTAAAAAATCACTTATTCCAGAGTGATTTAAAGTGATATAAAGTTACGCATTTATTACATACTCTGAATCTAAAATAACAATAATGATAATGGAATGAAAAAAAGAAAATAGAAAACAAATTAACATAAAATCCTTGAAAATTTACATCATGTTAAAAAATCACTCTGTATAAAACATCTCTAACCGATTTTGTTTATATTTTATAGGTAAACTACCAAATCGGTCTAAATATAAAACTAAAAGGAACCTCATTAGACAAATTTTCTTCTTCTATAACTACATATAATATAATACTTTTAATAATTACTCATTCATATTATGGTATTTGCCGGATGCGTATAATAACAGTTATTGTCTTTGTGTTCGCCAGACGTTAAAAAATAAAATACAATATAATTTAAATACGGTACTTACTTTTAAATCATCCGGATCATTGAGTACAACATACGATTGTCCGACTAGATTAAAATGAAAAACAGGACCATAATGTTTTATTAATCCTATATGATATGGTAATATATCTAAACACAATGAAGAAAAAAAAAATTGGTAAACGTATTCATTTTTATCCGAGAACTAATTAATCGGAACATATTTCTGTTTTGCAATTTTGACGTGCTAATTATGTAGGAACACAATAGTTATGTAATATAAAGTATTTAGTTATAGTATACCTGTATGATGTAGTCCAAAACGAAAATATTATATTAACGTAATTTTTTGGCATAACATTCAAAATTAGGAAATTACGACCCTACGCTTAAGAAGCGCTCCAATATAGAATAACCGGCTATTTTATACTATGCATATAATACAGAACCACATAATACAATATATTATGTTCCAAGGACCAAAATATTAAATATCATCGGTAATCAAACTAACTTTGTAACAAAATATGGGGGTCGTTAATTATTTGAAAAATGAAAGTCGAGGTTAAATGTTATTTGCTTTCTAGATGTTATTCAACTACATCATTTTTTTTTTTTTTTTTAAATTCATTTTTTATAGTGCATTTCATAATTTGTTAACACAGACAGTACCTTTAGGGTGTTTACTTCCTAGTTTCCACGAAAATAGCAATTCACTCCAAAAGGATTTCGTGACGGACGGTACGTGTGATGAAATTTGTCGGTATTCCAGCGGTTTCTGGTAATGCGAGTACACCAAAGACAGTATCAAAAGTATTAACGGTAATAGAACGAAACTATAAAAATTCAATAATTCTAACATTGTTTGTTACGATTTTATAGTTTATGTATTGATTATAGTATTATGGTGATACTGTTGTAGACGTTAGTAATCGTACTAACGATGTAAACAAGCGTAAACAGTCTTACGGAATAAACAAATAATTAAAGCTGAAGAAATATTACACGAGACACACTATTATTAATCATTGTACGGTTTTCGTTTTTAACGTTGCTTCGGAATGCAGCGATATATAATACGTTATCTGAACGGCCAACAGAATTGTACTGACTGTTAATGTTACTGTTGAATGCGATTACTGACCTAATTGTTTTTTTTTTTAGATCCTGCGTGGAGTGGGGAATTACTCTCTCTTACTACTTCTATTTATTGTCCCCTCAGTCCCTCAAGGCCGAGATGACACCTTTCATACGGCTGCCACAATGTTATACCGATATCATTTTCTAGTGATATTTTATATTGTACGTATTTTGTATGCATCGCAATATTAGATTCTGAGCAGAACGAGAAGTGTATCGGTTTTACTATCATGCGTGCGTTTTTTTTTTCTACCTGTAAACAACTTTTCTACAAGAAATCATGTTCCAATCAAAGAATACTAAGGTACATTGTTTGATGCATTTTGGATGTAGTCGGTGGCCAATTTGACATCAATAGGTCATTTTTTTGATTTTCCAAGCTCCTTTCATAATAAACGGAAAAAAAAACGTAGAAAAAACGGGTAATCAAAGGAAATAACGCTTTGATTATTTTATGGCCGTAACACAGTCGTATTTTGACCTATAAATGTAAAATGTTTTTAGGCACATAAATATAATTATGAGACAACACGTTTGCGTACCCTACTGATGTATAAAAAATTAAAACACTAGATAGCCCACTTGAAAATTAATAAAATACACTAAATAAAGTAACTATAGTATATTTCCTACGTATATTAACACAGTAATTGTATTTTATGATGTATGAACTTTTAAAAACGATAAATTGTTTTTTTGAGATTAGCTATTTTGGGTACCTCACAGACATATGCGAATACTAAATAGTTGACTTGGAAATTCATGATTTAGTGTATATTAACACGATAACGTGTTGCACTTAAGTTTTTTGAACCCACCAAACGTTCTGCGTCCATGATTATTATGAGGATTTGATAGCTGTGACTTACTTACAGAATAAAAAGCAAAGGTGAAATAATATTCCCACCGTATTATTGTATTTTCAGTGTGCCATTCGTTATAGTTTAAATATTTTTTTTTTTATTGTTTTCGTCGAATAACCATGTTGTTCCTGAATTAATCCTGTAGGAAAAATGTGCGCGTTCAAACATAATTGCGCTTTACTCACAAATCACCGATTTTGTGAAACACTAATGTAATATACAGTGTTCTACGAATATTCGAGCAATACAAAAACTTTTGTTTTGTTCAATGAAAAATTGGTGAATCTATTGATATTATTTAGTGGTGGCAACAAAACCGCCCTTAAAATATGTAGGGCCCGGGGCATAACTCTTTTAGCAGGACCTACAAAAAAAAAAAATGTAATGTTTTCCACACAAAGGCAATTGCACTTTTGTAGGCAGTGACCTCTCCCATTTGGAAATGTCAACATTCGTAAAATATGTTTACCTATTACTTTTACCAGTACTTCACCTAATCATTCTTCACCTAGTCTGTTCCTTTTTTTTTTATCCTTAAATATGTTTTATATTGTGCCAATTTCAAAAAAAAAAAAAAATTGGGACATCTAAAAACGTATTTTTCATTATACACACAGATACAATGTGTTTGTGTTCACGCTAAAAAGTACAACTAAGTATTTCAGTTGGACGACCTAGTATTGAAATAGAATTTTCGTCAATGATAAGGAGTAACCAAATACACATTTTCAAAAAAATTTTAGATTTTTACCCTTATGATACGCGCCTGTGCAACGCAACTAACTTTCTTTAAATGGCAACATGATTTCTTTTTCTACAGATTCGGATAGAGTACTTTTTTAAAAACAATTATTGTACAAAAAGTTTTTTCTAATTACAAAATTGTCGAAGTTATAGAATACTGAAATTTAATATTTACGAATAATCTGTTATTGACGAAATTTTAACTGTGTTCAACTTATACTCGAAAATCGAAATTATATCTTCGATATTTTGAAATACCTGTTTGTAGATAGATATAAGACACAAATAAACACTTTTTGCTTTCGTAATTTAGTCTTTTTTATTCATTTATTCATCCGAAATAAATTGAACGTAATGGAAATTATAAAAATGTACACACTATAAATTTGAAATTAAGAATTATTACTTACAACAATAGTTTTATCAAAGAAATTGTTCAAAGTAACCGCTTTGGTGTTGCAAACGTGATTCCAAATGGATTAAAAATTCAATTGACCTGGCAGTGTTTATTTGGTCTTCTCTCATTTTTTTCAATTTTGTAATTAGAAAAAAACTTTTTATTCAAATATTGTTTTTAAAAAAAATACTCTATCCGAATCGGTAGAAAAAAAATAATGGTGCCATTAAAAAAAAAGTAAGTTATACTGCGCATGTGCGTACCTAAAGGTAAGACAGATTTGTCTGAAATGTGTATTTGGGTACTCCCTATCATTTTCCGAAAATTCCATTTCAATACTAGGTCATCCAACTGAAATATTTCTTGGTACCTCTTAACGTGAACTCACTGTATATTATATATTATGATAAAATTATTTAAATTCTTTCATATTTTTATCTTATACATATAAAAATACGGATATACTTCGCACGTATTGCGCGGGTTCACTACAGAATGAAAAAAAAAATAAATATGTAAACAATGTGATTCATGTATTCAATTTAATTAATATTATTAAAATTTCTATTAGAGTTCAAGCGAAGCCAGAAAATTTGGTATTGAATTTGACTTTTATATTGTAATGTTTAGTGGCCGATTGAAAATATTTTCCCGGATACCCAATCATTAGAATACAATATTATTTTTTCAAAACAACATAAAGTACGAGTATATTAGAAATATGTATAAAATAATATTGCATCATAAAATTTAGATAACTTTGGATAAATATTAAATTATGATTTTAAATTAAATATTTTCCAAATGTTTATCATTGGAGAATGTTTTGTAGGTATTATTTACACTATTATCTAGGATCTAACAATAACAAAACATTGCCGGGCCAGCTATTTTTAGTTTGATGCACTTTGAAACTACTCTACCATTTTTAATAAGATTAATGTTCAATGTTCATGCTCTCAATGAATGTGCTTTGGTCCAACTTAAAAGATAGGATAGTCTTCATCAAGATGTCATATGTCCCCCCCCCCCGTTTTTTATTTTTATGTATTTATTTTATTTTAATTCCCTCTGATGACCAATATCAGGATCACATTTCTCAAAATCCATGTTTTTCTCGGAAACACTTTACCGATCATTTTCAAATTTTGACGTAACATTCCATTTTCAATCCCGTGAATTACATGAGGCTATTAGATATTTTTATTTTTGATACGAATATATCATTTATATATAAAAATTAAGACGTCCAATATACTCACTCACTCATCTACGCCTAGTCCAAACTACTGGACGGATCCAGCTGAAATTTAGTATGCAGATAGCTATTATGATGAAAGTATCCGCTATAGAAAGGATTTTTGAATATTCAACCCCTAAAAGGTGGAATAAGAGTTTTCATGTATTTTTGGTATGAATATCTAATATTGTTTATTTATTTAATTTTGTTTATTCTTGGGTTACCTTGGTTAATTTGGTTGTCGCGGACAACCGCGTGTGTTTATATTGTAAATAAATAAACAAAATGAAAAATCATATAATAATAAAATCGTTTTTCACTACGAAGGATAAATTTATGGGTGAAGAGGTTGAGTATTAAAATTCTCTTAAAGCCCATAACCTTCCCGGAAAAATTCTGATCAAAAAGCCTCATCGCAATCGAATGAACGATTTAGGAAGGCATAAGAGATATACAGACAAACGTTTATTTGTAAAAAAACTGGTCATACAGCTAACCCGGAAATGCTTTGGTATTGCTAGATTTTATTATTATCATTATATTTTTTTTTTTTTTTTGTAGCTGAATTAACAAACAATATTCAGTAGATACCATATATACGTATTGACCTCATACCTAACACCTTATACCTTGATACCTCATAATCAAAAAAAAAAAAAATAAATAATAATAATAATATTTATTTTGCTACCAAGGTAATTCAATTAACAAAAATTATACCACAAAATACCAAAATCCCTGTCAGCTATTCTTTAGGGGTTGAATTTTAGAAATTTCAATATCTAAAAACCTTCTCCGGACTACGCGGGACATTTTGCGAAAAACCCCCGTTAAAATCGGTCCAATAGTTAATGAGTCTATAAAGGACAGACAGACATTCTTTCTACATAATACTTTAACGTCATACTAAAAATAACTGTAAGAACTATTCAATGATAGAACTTTTACAATTATTTTGTTAATTCAGTTGCTATACAAACACACGCGGTTGTCCGCGACAGCCAAATTAACCAAGGTAACCCGTGAATAAACAAAAATAAATAAATAAACAGTATTAGATATTCGTATTAAAAATACTCGGGAACCCCAGTTTTACCTCTTGGGGGTTGATTTTTCAAAAATCCCTTCTTAACAGATACCTTCGTCATAATGGCTTTCAGTATACTAAATTTCAGCCCGATCCGTCCAGTAGTTTGGGCTAGGCGTTGATGAGTGAGTGAATGTATCGGACGTCTTAGTGTCTTACTTTATGTATATATATACTTAATATTATTATATTTTACGTGAACTTTACAAGGGGTAAGAAGTAACATAAGTGGTATGAAGGGACATGGGAGCACGATATTCGGTAATACTTCTGTAAACATTACCACACGAAATTACGTTATACACTTTAAACCGATGCCAGTCTTTACAGACGTGTTCTACGACACTTGTCCGTAATTAAGGCGCACGTGAGACGGTGCCGTACATGAGATACGACAATGAATAAAAAAGCGCGAACCGTCTCCTTTCATTTGCACAGCGTGATGGGCCACCATGACGCCACAAACGACAATGGGCTCCATTTGTGTTTTTAAAAAATGCGCCAGCGGTGTATGTAAGAATGTACAAACAGACTAAAGCAAAAATAATATTAGCAAAATAAATACAAAAAAAAAATCGCACGGGCGAATCCTGGTATTATTGTAATATCGAGTATAGTATTGTCACGCATGGCAAAACTGCTGGCAGTATGGCGTGCGAAATGCAAATGTCCGCGATTCCGCGTGCCAGGCAATCGTGTAACGACATCCGGCGGTGCACGTAAGAGTGTACAGGAAGGGGTAGGCGACGGGGGGGAAGATAAAATGTTGTCGTATCATTCAGATAAATAATCTTATATACATGAAAAGGACGGGCCGCAACACCCAAATAGCTGGAAACATCCATGTCGCTTAATACGTAATCGCTACCATTATTATTATTATTAATAAATACGCTTGAACACAACATTTTTTAAAATCATTTCTTATTGCACATTGAGATTATAAGAGAAACCTCAATTTCAAATTTCAAATTCGAAGGTTGTGTAATTTTCGAGATATAGCGATCAGTAATCCGGAACAAAACGTAACATGAAAACTGAACAATCCACGGCGTTCGGTTGCATTATTTTAAATTTATTATATGCTTTTCGTGTACTACCAGAAATATTGCTCCGACAGAAAAATAACAAAAACATTTGTTTGTTGAATACTACGTTGAATTTTCAATCTAGTTGGTGGCCAGGGAAGTCTTTTTTTAATTTTCATTGTAGTTTTTTTTAATAATTGAGTAAAACCAAAAAATAGAAAATACGGGAAAATTGACTAAAATAATTATATTGTTTTTTTTTTTTAATTTTAATTCAGTTAAAAATGTTTGTAGACTTGAAACTTTGACAAGTAACTTGTATTTACTTTTTTTTAGACGTGGTAAAATTTTCAAAATATTTAGACCATTTTTGAACTCTATATAGACTTTTAAATTTCGTGAGACTATTAATATAATTTTTAATTGGAAGTTACTCTGTGGATAAAATTATTAGACTGGAATGCTTGAAAATTTGACAGGAGAACGTACTTTTCACTAACCTCCCCACCAAGTTGGAAAATCTTTGGATTTTTCACCGTTAATTAGTGTGGAACTTGTGTGAATTTGTGCAAAAATGATTTTTGGAAAAATTAAAAAAAATTTGTGGGGCTGGAGAAAGGTTCCCTGGCCCTCAGCTAATTATTAAAATAGACTTCTGCATTATTTTTTTTTACCAAAATTTTGTGTTCGATTTATCTGAATTTGTGTGACCCGAATGAAAATCTATGCGCCACTCCTTCACCCTCGATTATCCGTTAAATATTTTTTGTCATTACATCAGCCCCCTCTCGAAGGTCAAAAACCGGCTTTCCAAGGGATAAACACTGACTTTTTCTGTGGTTTTTTTTTACCTAAAATGAATACGTGAATAATGTGAATTTTTCGGAATTACATTTTAAATTATTGGTATTTTGTTACTCAAATTACATCTGAAAATATTTATAATTTATGTAATGATAACATAGCGGAAAAGTAATGTTTCTATAGTATCGTCATATGGTTTATAATTATTAATAAATAGTTTTAATAAATGTAATGTATTTCAAAAATAAAATTGAATGAAACATTTAACATGTTTTATATTGTGTACACAAGAAATTCGTATGTAACAATTTTCGTGAGGGGTTATCTCTAAATGAAAATAGGTGTTATAACTTTAAAAGGCCTTTTTATTTGTTTTGCGTAAACATTTTTTTTTTTAAAACATATAATTAAATAACAATAACAAATATTATTTACACGAGAATATTTTAAAAATATTTGATAGTTGTTGGATTTTCATTTACCTGAAAATATCTAAAAAAAATTGCTTATTCGGAACTCCTTAAAAATAGAATCTGCAACTTCCTTACATCCTCTTAAAATGCATTTAGTTATCTCATAATCTGTAAATTAAAATAGAAATAATTTCTATAATATACATATTAGGTAATAAAATTAATATTTGTAATATAATATATTAATTGAATCATAGTAATTATTGTTCTACTTCTGATTTCAATTTTCAATTAAATAAAAGTTACTAAATATCAGTATATCAGTACGAAACTTTTAATTAATAATTATACCTAATATGAAGTACTCATTATAAAGTATTTTCTATGTGCCAGAAATTTGAATACAGATAAATAACAATTTAATTATACAATGTATACATAAATTTAATTATTTCTAAAACAAACAGTTAAAAAAAAAATTTGAAAAATACTTAGTTATGTAATTAATACATCAAAGCATTTTCTAAATTATGACTGGTTTTCACAAAATTAACAATTACATCCATCTTTATTTATATTAATAATAATGTCAGTTAATCGTTTAGTCTGGTCTCTACCATTGTGCATTTGTGCTCCGCAATTTATTTTTAATCACTGTAGGTATAGAGAAAATTCTTTCTGGAGTAATAGTTGCAATAAGTCGGGTTATTTCTATTTTTATATCCACTGACTTTTAATGCTTGATATACTGTTGTCATGCTCGGAAAAATAATTCGTCGGAAAATATTTTTTCGGAATTATTCAATATAATTTAATCATAACACTCCGTGACTGCATGTTATCGTCGTTGGTTAAAAATTATTTTTCGACGAAATATTTTCCGACGAATTATTTTTCCGAAAAAAAACTTTCCGACGTAATATTTTTTCGACAAAATACTTTTCAACGAATTATTTTTCCGACAAAATACGGTTCTGATAAAATACGATTCCAAAAAATTATAGCCCTCCCCATATACCAATTAGTTCAGCAAGTGATCCTAATTTTTAATCCGCGCGTAAAGCGACCGCATAATTAAGTATAATCTTTCCGAGATAACGTGAGTGCCTTACGTTCTATTAATCATTTGATCAACTGTTTTATTATTAAAACAACAGTTTCATTATATTTCAGTAGTTTTCAATTGGTTCAGTTTTAAACTCGGCAAGTTGTCAGCTCTCAATATTAATTTCGTACTGATAACAATATCCTGTTGCGTTCCCAAAGTCTCCACGCTCATATACCTTAGGATTGTCGATAAGGCCGCTTTCATCTGATACATAGCGAATTTTCGACCTGTAATATTATACATAAATATATAAGTTTTCGCGGCGACGTACATGTAAATTACGACTTCAACGTAAATACATGTAGTTATTTTTGAAGTTGGGCGAGTAAATGAAAATAATTGTATCCATTTATTCTAGTAAAACAATTAAAACAGCTTGAAAAATAACAGAAACAATATAAAATAAAAATTATAAATTCAATTCGTTAAGTTAAATTTTCAAATAAAAAACATGGTAAAATCGAAGTTCACACGCGATTTAGGTAATATTTACCTATACAATTTCTCGGCCCAGCGCTAAATATTAAATACGCGTATGGGTGACGTTCAGCGCACTGTTCTGGTAAAAACCTGTCGGGGTCGAACTCTTTCGGGTTGGGGTACGTGTTTTGGTCACGATGTAACATGTGTGGAAAGACGATCATAGTTGTGTTCGGAAGTATCGTGTATTTACCTAAAAATAAATAAATAATAATTTCAACAATACTTACGGGCAATACAATTAATAGATAAAATTAGTTTTGTAATAATACAGAGTGATCAAATTATGAAAAATTATACATTGACTTTTTCCTGGGATATTAAGTGAATTTTATTTTTGTTTTATTTTTTTTTTTACATATAATTATAAAATCGTCCAAGCTTTACTTTAATAATATTTTCCGTTTTTATCACTAATTAAACATGGAATGAGTATGCTCTTTACATTTTTAAATATTAACCCCCTCCTTTTGACACAGATTCAAATATTGCAGGAATTTTTTTCTACGCATTTTGATATTCCTAAAACTAATATCAGTTTTACCATTTATGCGTTATAGAAGTTTAATGTTCAGACCGGAAGAGCAGGTGAGGATTAAGAATTTATCATTTAAAATTGGGTATTAAGTTAATTAATTTTTCCTACTAACCTAAATTTTAAATTTCAAACAGTTATAAATCATAAATGGTAAATCTGATATTAGTGTTATGACTATCAAAATGTATGAAAAAAACATCTACTAGAATTTATGTTCAAATGGAAAGTGATAGTAGCCCTCTTGGATTTGAAAATCCAAACTGTATATTCAGAATTTTAGTTAGTAAAAAAAAAAAATTAATTTCAACCAAAATCCTTCGAGAAAATCTACGGTTCTTGATAATTTGATCACTCTGTAATATACGTACTGAGGTAGAGTGGTTCTTTGAGAGTCCGCGTGATACCTGACACACTCGGGTAAAGTCTCATTGTCTCTTTTATCACCCGTTCCAACTTCACCATCGCTTTGAAGTCTTCCATTGTTGCGTGCCGGTCACTATTACCAAATATTTCAAAAAGTTCGTCTCTGACCGAATTCTATTGAAAATAACATAATAACTATAGTTGTATGAATGCAATTTTAAATGATAAAGTACAAACAAAATAAAAAAGCACCCGACATTAAACTGTTTTTTATACAATAGTTTAGAATATATATATATATATGCTTCGCATGATGGCTGGGGCCACTGCTGTAGGTGAGAAGTTGAGCAGGTAGGATACAGAGGAACATTTAATTTAATGTTAAAAACCATTATCAACGAAAAACGATTATGAGCTAAATTCGTTTATACATGTTTTGAAAAGACGTAATATTTACAAAAATTGATATTAATATTCTTATAAAAACCGCACACGATATCTAGCACACAGAGCGTCACGTAAGATTCTACGTCACGGAGGAACCCGTCGTTTATTATGGACGCTTCGGCCAAGTTTTTGACTAACTGAAGGGAATGCTTGTTGAGCGCCGGCACGTAGACTCCAATATTTTAAAATGAAACGTGTTGGTCAGCATTTTCCTCCGGGAATGCTATTTTTTATCTGCGAAACGATTTCAATCCATTATTTTTAAACATATTTTTATACTGTTATCATTGGTATGAAGCGAAGATCCTAGCATAAAAACAGTTGTATAGGGTAAAAGACGAAAGAGAAGAGACCTAGAAGCAGACCACAGAAGAGTTGGTTAAATATAATTTAGACTAAGATCTTAAAACCCTAGGCAAAGAAAATAAGAATAAGAGAACAATTGAGTGAGAAATTCGACCGAGTTCGCGACTGGGAGTTGGGAAAGGAAATCGGTAGTGATGGTGGCAAAGATTCTTTATTAGGTAACAAAATAATAAAGTAAAAACAAAATTATTAAAATTGTTAATACTCGTAAATAAATGTGTGAATAACCATTTATATATAGAAATAAATAATTAATAAATGAATGAATGCGTCGCGTTTTACATTTAACTGTGATATACTTGATGATGAATTTTTAATTCAAAACCTGTCGTATAATACACTTATCATAATACTCCAGGCGACGCATTCATTCATTTATTTATTTTTTATTTCTATATATACATTTCGTTTGTTTATATTTATTTACTATTATTTTTTTATTACGGCTATTGTTACAATGTAACATTATTTACAAGTTCTTGGTTGCGTTAAAGTTTATAACGTTAACTTAACTAACATTTAGTTAACATTTAGTGAATCATATTGTTAAAATACAGTGGCCACAAAATTTAAGGTATTGATGACACTGATGTCGGTAAAAAAAAAAATAATATAATTGTACCAGTGAACCCGATTTTTAATCCATGCCTAAAAGCCCGGTACAACCAGATACCTTATATTAGCTAAGTATAGCTATTCAAGAGACCCGGAGGATTCAGGGTAAGCCTCGGATGTGTGAAAACGTATCAAAGCGCGATCTGAGCTCCCGCTTCCTAATTCGCCTTACCGTCTGCTTACGGTTTGGCCGCTGTCAGGTAGGTGACCACTACCTTATTTAACCACTACTCAACGAAACTCATAAGTCCGTCCGCATTCAATCGACGAATATTTTCTGACGAATTATTTTTCCAAAAAAGAAACTTTTCGACGTAATATTTTTACGACAAAATTCCAACGGTTCTGATAAAAATACGTTTCTGAAAAACCCATTTCCGACAAAATACTTTCCAATAAATTATAGCTCTCCCCATATACAAATTAATTCAACAAGTGGTCCTAATTTTTAATCCGCGCGTAAAGCGATGGTACAACTACGCACCCTCGATTAGGCTTCGGCTATTCAGGTGGCGCAGAGGTTTTGGGAAAGCTCCAGGTGCATTACAATACATCAGAGCGCAGTCCCAGCAACCTCTTTCCAATTCACCTACCGCCTGTTTGCGGGTTTAGTCACCATCGGCTAAGTAACCCCTGGCTATTTAATCACTACCCAACGAAACTCGTAACCCCGACCGAATCCAACCGCAAGGCACCGACCAGGCACAAGACCGCAACCGTCACCCGAGCCTCTGATAGGCGCGGAGAATAGGTCGACGCCAGGGCGCTAAAGGTCGCCCAGACTACTTTTCATACATTTTAAAAGTTGGACATATCTCGACACCCAGTTACCGATGCGGATGATCAGTCCGCACCGGAGGCAGTCAGGTGTCATAACACAATCTCAGTTGCCGGAGGTAATTATTTTTATTCTGTGCATAACCTCACTATCACCACCCACTCAGTTATACTTACCCAACATCTAAGACAAAATTATGCTCGCGATAAATTTAAGCCAACAGTTCCGATTTTCAAGTAATAAACCCCTTCCTCTCTTATTAAACAAAATAATTTTACGGGTATTTCATAAATAAATTCCTATAATTGTAAAAGTAATAATTATGTTGGTAATCCAGATATTCATACTATAGACTTAAAAAAAATAAAAAAATAATTTAGTTATCTAAACGGAAAATTGTAAGACTATAATAAATTTAATAATAAGTCCTTCTTTTAAAACATAATAAATATAGTATATTCATCTTTAATTTGGCGAAATCGTTTTTGTCTTAGGTCGATTAGGTCTGGCATGAGTATACTAAAACACGTTTTTGATATAGATAGATAAACACTGGCAAATGTTACTATAACGGCCTAGTTTCTTTTACTCTCAAATTCAAAAATACACCGTTCCTCTGTGTTCGACCATCATCAAAAAGTGTTTTAATTATTTTACTCATTAAAATATTAATCTCGTTGGTTTAAATGCTATACATGTAATATTATAAAGTATTTTCTATTAGGAAAAAATGTAATATTAAAAAGGTACTCCCTATAATTATTTTGGCTATAATTTATTTTCAGATATTATACCTTTTTTTCACACCAATATCAAGAAATATGGGTTATTAATACATTTTAAAATAGCGGCACGTCATTATGTCTTTATAAATGACCCGGACGACATAAAGGTATGTCCGATAATATATTATCCGAACGAGAAAATTGCATTTACACCAATTATTACAATAATATTTTATGGATTCTATTGTCGGGCGCACAACATATTACGAAAGGCCCGGATTACAAGATGCTTGAACCGTGGTTGAACACGGGACTTCAGACCAGCACTGGTACAATTATATTATCAATTAATACCTAACAAAACCGCGGCCAAGGGAACTGGCAGGGATTAGTTTCTTGGTCGATTTTCGGCGGTTTCCTAGAGAACCCGGGGGACTGCTTTGCCCCTCGGCCTTTTTAGATGGTAGCCTCTTCGTTGGCGCTAGATATTATTAGCGACGACGCGGATTTCTCCACGTCGTGAAGCGAACATGTAAAAATTCTCGTTGAACGCACGATTGTCGGTACTACCCCACCGAGGTTGTACCCGACGAGAGATCGAGACTACGGGCTCGCCTCTCCGTGTCGGGGGTCTTTTCGCGTTCCAACCACTGTGTCGCAGCGTGGGATGTTCTCGGGCGGCTCATTTACCTCCGGCAATAATTATTAAATGTTGTAAAACAGTTCGTTTTTGTACAAAATTGAAAGAAAATATTAACCTATCGATTGACTGCAATTGAAAAAATAATAATAATAATAATATCAGTTTTGCAATATGATTACTATTCCGGAATACGATTTATGAACTCTGGTCGTTTTTTATCGCTTAAACGTAACACGCAAAATACAACACGCGATGACCTTTATGGCGGCGTTATATTTTTGATCTCGAAAATATAGATAATATCAGCTGCAGCCCGTGGCACTAATAGAGGAATACGCAATCAATGGCAGGAAATAAACCGTGTAATCGACTTTTGTTTGATTTCATACTAGCCGTTTAATTGCTCAAAGCGTCATAATTGATAACAACATATTATTATGTAATTACAAATAATTGGAAGAAATACTACAGGGTCAGACTGGTTTCGCGGAGAAGGGCGTTCATATACAAATTGTTAGTTCAAATTTTAAACTTTCATATAAATGTTTTATTTGTGCAATATTTGTTACTGTCGTTTATTTGTTTAATTTTCATGAAGGGGGGGGGAGTTAAACTCCTAACCACTCCCCCGTGCATACGTGCCTGGGGTCAGAGCAAGTCCAACATATGAACATTTAAATTACACAAATAGAACAAAGTTATTGGACGCACGACTATTATGTAAAGTATAAACGAGCCAAAATGTTGGCGTCAGTATAGATTTTAGTCGATTACAAGACCTAAAAACACGGATAAAACTATAGAAATGTTGTGCTTGACGGATTTCAATTTTGAAAATGGTATGCTTCGTTAGAATTTTTACTGTATGAATTTGGATATGTCGTAAACAGAAATTGAATAATGTTACTGGAAGTCATAAAAAAAAACATATTTTTACAAAATTTTCGAAAATTTACCTACTTAAAGTATTTTGCCTTTTACTTGTGGTAAATAAAATGTAAACCAAAATAATGCTTCCAACGTATTCTAATAAAGATTTAATTCGATCGAATGCAATTCTTACAGTTGTGTCTGGTATTTCGTTTTAAATTTTCTTTTCGCCGCTTAAAAACGACTATGTCCATTACCCTTGAATGGATATTAGGCAGTAGATTAAAAGATGGGTACATTAATCCGTCTCAAATTCCAAATAAATTCATCGAATAAAAAATTAATCAAAATTGATCGGAGTTATCCATCCAAAATATTCAGCGATAATATTATAATTTTGATTTAAACTGCAGATTTGGATTTTGAGTATAATATTGTCATTTCGTCAATCAATTTTAATTTTATTTTCATATTTTTATGCATATTTACACATTTTTTTTATCTGTTCTATATAATAACATATATATGTATATTGTTAAAAACAATTGGAATAACCAATTGAGGTATCGGAGTGTACTTGTGAAAAGGAATACCAAAGGCAGACAGATGGCCTATATGAAACTCAAATAATGTAGGACACAAAAAAAATGAAAAATACAAGGATCAAAAAGTATTTAGCTATAAGAGAAATGATTGAAGATCTACAACAAATAGTCTAAGGATTATTAACG